ATATGCTCAGCACTGACCACTTTCTTTCTCAGTTGCATTCAATTTCCACCAAGGGGATACCAGCTCAGCTCAGCAAAACTTTACATGCTCACTTGCCTCAGTTTATTTGCCGGCCGCCACTATGGTAGCAGAAGTTTTCTTTCATAAATATGTTATCATTCCACTTCAAGGGCCAACTTACTAATGACAAAGAACATGCATGGTTGGCTCTGACTTCCAGTGTTGCAGGATGAAGGTTTTGGTTTCTTTCTTTCTTTGTAAACAGTTTCCATCATGTGCAAATGTTGCTCCCAAGAGCTTTCAAGAGAATATTATTATTATTATTATTATTATTATTATTGTTGTTGTTATGTACTGAAGTTCTCACCCTGGGCCAGCAGGGGGATACTGTAGATAGTTTTCACTCAGGTCCACGTCAGTTATTTTAGGCGGGAAACCCTGGGTAGTTGTTGCTACAATGTTGACAGCCGGCTGCCTATAAAAGCAGGCCGGCTGAGCTGTTTGCTGTTCAGTCTGTTCCAGCTTACAAAATAAAGAGCTGCTTTGGAGAAATCGCTGTGTCGTCTGCCATGTCTACCCACTATTCTACAATTTTTCTACAGCCCTTCCTCCAAAGGTCAGAGGGCACAAATACAAACATATTGTGCCATCTTGTTTCATCTGCCGCAGCTAACAGTCGCTCTGGGGTATGCAACAGCTCTAATGCAACCCCCTCCTATGGCTGCTTCTTTAAAAAGAGAACACCATTTGATAGATCTGCTGACAGATCTCTTATATCATATTAAATCTGGCTTTAAGTGAGGCATGGCAAATATTTATCAGAAAATAATAGCTTAGACTTGCAGGTAACAGTTCTGCCCCTCCCCTGAGGCTTGCCAGCTGGCTGCCAGCGAGGTCCTTGATCCCAAAGTTGGCCAAATCAGCTGCTTTTTATCATACAAGTGAGCCAGGGAAAGGGCTGTTAACCTGCAACTCCCTCCTCCAGAGTAAACGGCAACAATAAAGGCTGCCAGAAAGAATTCAACCCACCTTATCTGCCTCGGAAAGGGCCAAACTATACATGACACCAAATCTATCCCTTGGAAGCAGGATAGGTTTTTAAAATGTTTGTTTGTTTATTCACAAAATTTATACACCGCTTGAGTGTAAAAAAACCCCCCACAACCTCAAAGCGGTTTACAAAATGTTAAAACAAGGAAACGCAGAAAAAATTACAATACTTTAAAACATACAAAAAATTAAAATACTGAAACAGATTAAAATTCATATGAGCACTGCTAAGCAAGTGTGTTTTTAGCCAGTGCTGAAAAGAACAGAGCGAAAGTGCCTGCTTGATATCAGTAGGCAGGGAGTTCCACACTAAACAACTGAATCCTTTGCTGTGATTCTGGTGATTATTAGCAATTAGTCTTGAAAGAAAAGCTCCCATTGGTTCCCAGGCACTGAGCAGCTGAAGCACATATGGAGAGCAGCTTTGCCAAAGCCTTGTTCCCACTGTAGAAAAGGGGATTAAAGAGCTTTCCCTTTGTTTTGGCTTGGGTGGGAGTGAGTCAGTAGGTGGAGCCCATATTCAGCTCTTGCTCCATTCAAATATGGCCCCTGGTATAAATTAAACCCTGCTATTGCCAGCAAGGCCAATTTACACATTGGATCTGCCTAGCCCCATGTGGGGATATATGTCTCCAGTATATAATATGTGAAGTCTAGCACAACTCTCTCACCCCAAGCTAGAGGGTCCAGATAGGGCAGCTGTTGCACACAATGGTTTGGCTCGAGATGAGATTTCTGGTGAGGCAGTAAGAAATCATAGATCCAGCCAGAAGATTTGCAAGGCAAGGTGCATAAGAACTTCCTAAAGTTCTATAGCTTGGGTTATTCCCTACAGATACCATAGAAAAGTATCAGGGCAACTGGTAGCCAAAGTACTGGTATCATCACTCTCAACCCTTGTGCGTTTAAAAGTATGTTTGCTTAACCTAAACCATAAGGTATTCATTACATTAGATGTACAATAGATTATGCTGCACAGACTCTACAGTGGAGTCCCTTGAGCTGCCATAGTTTCCTCAAAGCCATTAATCACTGACAAGATGTCTCACACATCCAGTAAAATGGTTTCATCCAAATTCTATGAGTTTTATTCCATATTAAACATTTTTAATAGGAATTTTATGTCCAACTATTGAGATATAACATTCTAATAACACGTTATTGGATCTCCACCAACTCTAACATATGCTTAACATATTACGATGATGATGATGATGATATAATCTTTATTGTAACAACTATCATTTCAACCGCTCAAAATACACCCCACCCCCATATAAAAGGAAGTGTTTCTATTTTTAAAACATCTTGCCTAGTGCCCATCACATCTTTGGGAGGCAAATTCCTTGTTAATGATGAAGTATTTTCCTTTTGTCTGCCCTCAACCTGCTGCTTAAGGTGAGTCAAAGGAGCACATTTCACCGCCCTGGGCACCTTCAGGAGGAAGGATGGGATATAGCATGGGTTGGCAAACTATGGCCCGGGGGCCGGATCTGGCCCAATTGCGTTCTGGATCTGACCCATGGATGGTCCGGGAATCGCTGCATGGATTGGCGTGGGGATTCTGATAGTTTGGGCTGCGCCATTCCCCCCTCCCCACTGCAGTGGCACCTCCTCCCTCCCTCCTCCTGGCTTCTCCCCACCCTGCCTAGAGAAGGAAGGGGGCTGGGCTTTGTTGAGCCACTGTTGGCCGAGCGCCATTTTAAGCAGCCCCTCTCTGGAGCCAGCCCTTTCGCACCACTTATCGTCCCTCCGCTGCTGCCAGCCCCTGCCACTCGCAAGGCACAGGTAAGCAGCCACACAGGTAAGCAGCCACTGGGGCTTGTCCAGTGCTGTGGAGAAGGGAGGGGAGAGTCGGGGGGATTCCCCCCCAAACAAAATATAGTTCGACCCCCCACAAGGTCTGAGGGGCAGTGGACAGGCCCCCTGCGGAAAGTTTGCTGGCCCCTAGGATATAGAGTGATTTAATTAATTAATAAATTCAGGCCCCTTTTAAAGCAGGGGCACAGGGGGCAGTTATTCCTGGCCTCACATGGTGTGTGTGTGTCCTTACACATGGAGGCCACATCAACTCTCCAAATGTGCTTCAGCTGTTTGTTACACACCTAATAGAATTTGGACAATAACACTAAAGGCATCAGTGTCTAGTTTGCCAAGACATCAAATGTTCAACTGAGGGCAGAATGCAAAGCTGTAGAGAATACTGCTCTCCAACAAGCAGATAGTGTAGAGACAACATAGTGTCTGAACCCGGCATGCCATGTTTGTTTGCACATTGGACAGAGTTGCACACCATTATTTTTTTGTAATGGTTAACAAAGCGAAGGTTGCCTGGGCCACTTGCAGCTCCTTGTCAAGCAGCTGATGTTGGTTTGATCTGAAGATAAGTGCCCTCTGGAGAGCAGGACCACAGATCCGTTCAGGGAGACAGGGCATTTTCTGCTTGTGAAGAAGAGAAACTTGAGGGTCTGAACTGGTCTCCTGTAGAATGCTTCCACTAGAGGGGAATGCTGAGCTTCTTTGGCTGAAAAACTACCAGTTGAAATTGACCTAGGAGGGGAAGCTTAGCACTACCCTAGACTTGGCTTAGCCATTCTTACTGCCTTCAGCTGCAGAGCCACAGAAACCGCCCTCTGCTGCCACCTACTGGAGGCTCCCCAGTTGGGGCTGCAGCCTCTCTGCTGCCACCTGCTGCTTGGAATTCCTTACTGCATGGCTCTCAAATTCTGCTGTCATTGCTTGCATCCCCAAACTGTCAGTAAAGCCTAAGGGCACAGACTTCCTTTGGCATAGCAGCATCTTGGGAGAAGATGGAACATTCTGGACTAAAATCTATTTGTGTACTGCACCTTATATTTTTAATCTCCAATTGATACAGAGATTAGTGTGGTTGTTAGTCAGAATATCCCCTATACACTGGAACCTGGTCCTAGGTGCTAACCCAAGGGGGGTTACACCACAATTTCCATTCATTTTATTCTGCCTCTGTGTGAGTCTCTCTCTCTCTCTCTGTCTCTGTCTCTGTCTCTGTCTCTGTCTCTGTCTCTCTCTCTCTCTCTCACACACACACACACACACACACACACACCACTCACAATTTTACCTAAAACGCTTATGAAAACAGCAGAAATCCCAGGAAATAAAACCGAGGAACACATTTTCTCAGGTTTCCTATAGAAAAAAACCTAAAACTCAATTGGTTCTTCGTGTCCCTATGTTTGCATTCTTTAAAGACAAGAACTAGAGCATAGTGGAAACAGAACAGGTAGAGCACTGTGTGACGGTTATGCTCGAACTGCGTGCTGATGTACATGATCCTACAGGAAATAAATGTGACTTCCATGTATGAACCTGCAGTAAGTAAAACCTGGAGGTGGCAAGTCCACTTGGATAATAGGCCACAATTCTGTTAAAGTACATTTTGCAGGTAATCAGTAAAATCTCTGACTCTGTTTCCAGATTTGTAAAAGGTGCTTGTCATCAAAAGTGATTTGTGAAAGGAAGAAGCAGATAAGCTTTTGCAAAACTGCAGGAGTATATCCCAGTGCTGGTTGTTGGTAGGAGTATATATCCAAGTGTTGCTTATCAGGTAATGGAGGTAGTAGGCATAGGGATAAATAATAAAAGCATTCCACGCAATATTTGGTTTCAGAGTGTGCAGTGAGAATTTGTGACTTGTTTTTCCTTGAGATGGTCAATGTGTTTGTGGACTCAAGCTGCAGAAAAGCGTTCAGATGACTGAACGCTCTTGTGTGCCTTCTCTGCACATAAAAACTAGAGGTCAGGAAGAGGTAAGGTTAAAGCCATTCTCTCTGACATCTATCAAAGTCATCTTGTGAAATAACATGCTGACTTTACCTTGTTAAAAACAACAACGGTCTTCTGAACAGTGTGGACAGAAAAGAACCTTGTGAGAGGCTGAGGTTTCTGCACTCAGCATTCAAGAACGTACTTCAAACTGCTTTTTTATTTTCAGCATTTTTATCCTTTTAAAGGGAACCAATAGTGTAGCAGAAAATTAAAGTAGAAATGTTCACTAATTTTATGGATTAAAAAAATGCATATAAAATAAAACTATTTTATTCATCATTGTTAACATTTGCTGTATCTTGTCAGCACAAAACATTTTCCCCAAAATATGTAGCAGGTATAATATATATTATGTTTACCTTTCACAGATTAGGATTTTCTGACACCAACTTACACTTAAAATTAAAAAGTGCGGATAAAAAGTGCAGACTGTTGGTAAGGTGATATAAAGTTCAATATTTTCACTAACTTCAATTAGACCATGAATTAAACAAGAAACTATAAAAACATTTGACTACAGATGTACAAGATATGACAATTAATCAAAGTTAGAAAGTCCTCATCTGCTCTGTATTCCAGGAGAGTGAACTTGTTTTAGGTCTTTGACTTAAATTGTGCATGCCCTCTGCAGGAACTCTAAGGGAACTACATAAGTTTACATGAACAGAGCACACTGCTGACTTTGCAAAGGTATAATTTTCCTTCAATTTGTTATAGCTATTTCCATACCTGGAATCCAGACTTCAACTATCATGGCCACTTCAGGCTCTGAGTAGCAGCCCATTTTAAAGTGACTTCATTTCCGCAAATCCTGACTGACTGACGCAGGTGGGAAACGTGTAAACTGGGCTGCACTGTCCCTCACTGTGCCAGTAGTCATGGAAATGGGCTGAAATCCTATTTCAAAGGCCTTTCCTTCACAAAAATTAACATGATCCTTTAACTAATAATTTCAGATTACGATTTATTATCCACGCCCTTGCTGGGCCTCTCCAATTTACATTTACATTCTTGATCTTAGCCTACCTACAACAGGTTTATTAGTACAAAATTCTGACCACCAGGACGGCCTCTCCAACACCTTATTGCCTTGAAGAACGGTGCTCCACAGGTTTTTATACAGCTGGAGGGGGAGAAAAACAGAAATAGTTTCAGCAACAGCATTCATTTCCAAAATGTTCAGTCTTTGCAGCAGTGTGACCTTGATCTCAAGGAGGCACAATGAGACCTTCATTTAATAGTTTCCCTGTGTCTTTACATTTGCCCATATCTCTTTTCTAGGGTGACCCAACACAATAGAGAAGTCTGGCAGGTGCCGCTCAGCAGAGGCTAAAATTCCTGCTAAAATTCTCCTTTCTATGCAGCAAATGAAAGGAAAAGAGCTCTGCCTTCCCTCACTCTTTTTCTCAGGGTTTCTCAACTTCATAATCATAATAATACCTCTATTGTCAATGTACAACCAGTGTACAATGAAATTAACCGAGCCTTCCCCCCAAACACTCAATCTCATTGTATTCTGTGTGCTTGTCGCACAACACACCAAACCTGAAAGTCAGCTGCACTATATTATTTTCCGTTCATATTTCTGCCTCTCTCCTTAAAATCCCCAAAAGCTAGATAAAAAAGAGGGAATGGTGACCCCACCACAGCTTGTGCTAGGGCCCACTTGTGGGTATCAAGGCATCAGGAGAAGACCAATGTTTAGAGTAAATAAACAGATGAATCATTTCAAAAGAACATTATGGCTAAATTGAATTGAGCTGCAGAGTCTGAACAATGTAGTCAGGTTCCGAGATTATCAAAGAGCTGGTGAGCACATCATATGGTTTCCTCTGTAGCCTGTGCTTACAGTCAAAGTTCTTCAGTTTGTTAAGTTACTTCATTTACTTTGGCCTGGTGGAACGGTTTCCTGGACACCTCTTCTAAAATGGTTACCTTCCCCAAGCAGAGGTGCCTCAAACTCAAGGATCAGAAAGGCTGGAATGTGCAGTCTGGAGTGAATTTATTTCCAGCATCAGAAGAATGCAACATATATTCATGCTGCCAGACTGCTGGTCTTCCCTTTCTGCCACTCCCAAACACACACACAGTTTCTAACTGTGACACGACAAAGCACAAATATTGAAAACACAAAGTTCATAAAGAGTCACGGTAAACCTGAGTCAGAGCTTTGCAAAAAGATTTGTTTACCTCTCCATCAGCCCTGCCAATTGGCGAGTTGAGAATGAAGTCCGGAGGAGCAATCACATCTACCAAAGCCACAGCCTCTTGCTTCAGCTGCGCAGGAAAAAAAGTTAGACTAGAAACTGGGTATTCTGATTAGGTTTCTACAACAAGCAATAAACTACAGAGCTGTAGCATAACTATTTTGGCAAGCCACTAACAGCCAGCAGTTTCAGATTTATAATATGGATAGCTCCATAATCTTCTCCAATTTTCATTTTCATAGAACCTCATGGGCCATCGCGTCCAACCCCCTGCAATGCAGGAATCAAGCGTAAAAAAAGCTCAACTATTTTGGGGGTTTCCTTAAAAATAAAACATTAAGAAGGATGTCCCAGGTCATTTTGGGGTCTTCCCTTGGGGCTGAATTTCTCTGTCGTGCTCATCAATCACAGCTCTGACTTCACTCATAAGCTAACAACAACGAAAGGCAAGAGTAGGCTCATATACCTTGCAAACCAATTGCTTTGAATGATGCCCACACATTTTACTTCCTAGATTTCAATCTAGAGGCTAGAGACTTGCACTTTTTGTTTAAAGGAAGCTCAGAGTCTGGGGCTCCTGCTGCCCCTGGACCCAGGACAGGAGTATGCTCTTGCCAGCCAGGATGCCAACTTCCAAATAAAAGCATCACTCTTAGTCTACAGGTTACTCAGCATAATATTTAAACCAATCGGGAACATACCTTTGAACACAGTTCTAGAATTGCATCTTGCACAAATCTGCCAGCATTTGCACCTGAAATGTAGCCACCTGAAAGATATTTACCATGATAATGAAGCTAAATGACTCATTTTGGATCAAAAAATCTCCTAGATCTGTGGGGTATGAAGAATGTTATCTAAAAGTGAGCAGGTTTCCCCTTCATGGCTGAATGGGAAGAGGACTTGGAATCTGGTGTCCAAGTGCCTCACTGTGGCTCTCTGGAAAGCGAAGAATACTGCCGAGTGCCAAAGCTGAGCTGGCCGTGGTCAGCCACAGTCCTGGGAGGAACAGACAGAGATAAGGCAAAAACTTTGTTTTCTACCTTCGAGTTCCTATTCTCCTCACAGAGCTACAATTCTCAGAATGGTTTAACAATCAATCCCTCTTCCCAGAGAACTCTGGGAACTGTAGCTGTGTGATGGGAATGGGGTTTCCCTAGTAACTCTCAGCACACTTAAACTACAATTCCCAGGATGCTTTGAGGGAAGCCATGGCTGTTTAAAGTGGTATGGTACTGCTTCAGATGTGCAGTGCAGATGGGGCCTTTAGTTACCTTGCTAGTTTTGCCTTTAAGAAGATTGCACTCCACAGCTTAAGGAAAGTTTTGTAAGAGGCTAGATGTCAGATGAAAATGTTTAGGAAATTCAGTATTGTATCTTAAAACAAAGCTCCCCCAAGCTGTGCAGTAGAAGAGGACTGGGGCTAAAAGACCAGAGCTGTAAGACTGTATAACACATTTACTGCTTCCTTGGTGCAGAAACTACACTGGGTGGCTCAACTTACTTACTTAAATGCAGTAGTAAATTTGCAAGAGCCTTGAAGTGTTTGCAGATTCTAAATTTTACCATGTAGGCAGAATGTTGATCTCACCTTGGTAGAGCACTGACATGTGCTTATTTAAAGACCATAATCCATACAGCGAACATATATTCTTCAGTACCGGCTGGAGGCTAGCTGGTGTGTTGGAACTGTGAACGTAGTCATGATATCTTTGCAAAACAGTGTGCTCAATAAATGCTATAGCTAAAGAACGACAATAGTACACCTTGAAAAAAGAAAGAAAGAAAAATTCAACCATAGCTACAAATCCAGGCAAAGATTACTAACTGTTCAAAAGCAATAGTTAAGTAAAAGGCACCCAAAAAGAAGTTGAAAGGCCCATTCTTACTATCCTCTCTGTATCCTTCAGGGCAATCTGTGCTGCATAAAAGTGATGCAGATTGTACTCTGAAGCAACTGTGTGAAGGAATGTTGGTGGCATATATAGAACTCAACACGACTGCACCCCAGCTGAACATCTCTCATGCGATTTCAGGGGGACAGGTATGCAAGACGGGTCGTGACACTTCTGTAATATGAGGCAAGGTTGGGCATCATGTCTTGCAACTTTCATCACTAATCTGTTATCTGCAATTCTCTTGTTCCTCCCCCGGAGCTTCCTTACAGTGGTTGGGCCTGAGAACGAGGCCACTGTCTCTGGAGTTCTGGTTGGGAAGGCCTTGAGATCCTGCCTCCAGGGGTACATCACATGGTGTTAGTCTGTTGCAGCAAACAAGGAAGCCCTGTGGTACCTCAATGAGTAACAGCACTGTGGGACTCTCTGCTGCATTTAATACACTGTAGGTACCTTGGCAAATATTAAACTAGGATGAACCATCATAACCAAGTGATAATATTGGTCCCTCCAGCTCTTTAGAAACGTCCATTTCCAACCTCTAGCTTCATGAACCCTTAATTTGGATTGGTCTGCCACCATGACCCACTTTCCCCTTTTTTCGCTAGTATCCATTCCTGACTTACCCCCACTATTTGACATGCCCATTCAGGCACTGGAGCTCCTGGGCATTTTGGAGGCAGTCCAAACCCTGGACTTTTTTCTGCTCCTGCTATTTTCTCATGCTCTGCTCCTTCTCTGTTATCTTCCTGATGGAGCAACCCTGAGCCACACTCACTCGTAACCGTCCTCAGCACCTCTTCTCTACCTTTGACTCTCTTCCAAAGGCTTTTGTCATACTCGTTTCCCACCAGTGGCAGACTTGAGTACTATAGCACGATGTGTGAGGCCAAAATTTGGTGCCCCCGCCCTTGCACTGCCTTCCCAAAGCTGGCTAAGTGAGGTACTGGGTTTGGGAAAGGAGGCACAGGGCTCTGGCAGGGTCCTAGAGCCCTCCCATCTCCTTCCCAAAGCTGGGAAGTGCTAACTAGGCTTTGGGAAAAAGGCAGGAGGACCCTAGGACCTTCTCAGAGCCCTGTGCCTCCTTCCTAAAGCCCAGTCCCTCACTTACTGGGCTCTGAGATGGTGCCCCCTTGGCTCAGCACCCAGTGCATGAGCATCGCTTGCAAAGCCCTAAATCCATCCCTGTTCCCATATTCACTGGAATCTTTCTGCCTCAAGTTTGGATGAGCTCTTAGGAAAGGCAACAGCATAGTGGGCATGGATCTGAATTATTATTGTTGTCATAGAGAGGGAAGGAACTGTTACTGCCTGGACACAAAACTTAATGCAGGACTTGGGTGCCCTGGACACATTCCATAAGGTTTCAGCCCAGCATTTGGGAGAAAGAAGGTTGTGGCTCATTACACAAGAAATCTCCTGATGTCTAGATCACATTTTCCACCACTTGGTGTTAATCTCACTAGTTATTTCTTTTAAAGTAAAAAATGCATGCAGGAGGTTATTTGGCTGTAAGCCTGACGGCAGGGTTTATTCTTTTTAGCTTAGTTGCTGCACAACAAAGCATGAACTTTAGCTCCAGCTGAGTTTGAGGTCCTAGGTGCTTTACTTTTCATATTTTTGTGAAAGGAAGTGTGCAATGTATAGTGCGTATGTGTAGGGGAGAGGCAGCGGAAAAGGGCAACGTCCATTAAAATAGCCCCGTGCATGAAATTGCTCCGCAACATAAAATCATACAATTTGTTTACCTGACTGTTGTTCCTAGCCTCAAATTCATTGCAACCACATTTTTCTTGGTTTCTCAGCTTCTGGAAACTCTCTTGGAGCAAGTAACAAACCAGCCACTTGTATCCTCTCAGAAGTACTGAAAAAAGAAATGTCAAAGGTTTAATGTTTTCATTCCAGATAAGAATAATAATAAATCCTTATAAAGCAGACTGCAAATAATGCTGATAGTTTGCATCAGAATCTGAGTTTCTGTAATGCACAGTCTGCGTTTTGCAGAAATAAGGTTGAAAAGCATCCACAAAATTAAATATTTTGCTGCTGAAACTTAGCTGTCCTTCCTCTGCTCCACCCCAACAATTTGCTGTTCATATATATATATATAAAGACAGAAGAAATAATTTCGCATTATACCAACTAATAGAGGATAGACTTTCTTTTTTTGATACTTCTATTTAAGGCTAGTGAACTAATTCATGAGCACTTCAAAGCCCCATTTTTCCTATGTAAGACTGTATTCTCCTTCATCTCCAAAGCAGCATCCTCTCTACTCTCATGTTCATCACTAACAACATCATCTGTACTGAACGTCTTTCCCAGGCATCATCCGCCCACAGGTCCCATTTTCCCTGCTGATTTACATGCTCTCTTGTTCCCATGCCTCAAGCCCATTCTCTCCTCACAGAGTTTCGTTTCCACTGTAACATATGGCATAAAGCTCCAGTCATCAAAATCTCAGTCAATCTCTACAAAAGAACTTAAAATTTATTTTGTCAAGAGGTTCCCTCCCATTCTACTGTCTCCAAGATGGGACAACCTTCTTCCTCTAGCAACCCACCCTCTAAACTGGTACTTGCCATAACAACCCCAGGGGGCTGGTGTGTGAATTAAAGGGAAGAGAGAATGCACAAGGACTTAATCGCAAGCCCTGAAAGGAAGAATAGTCAATGGTTTGTAGGGGAAAGGGGCCACACTCAAAATTATAAGCACATGACAAGAGATGCAATTTGAACAGTTACCAGAAGAATCCATGCAGTCTTGAACATTTGACACTGTGAACTTCTGGCAGAGAATATGATCACAGTCTTCCAAAAAATCTACCGATCCCAATGGTGAAGTAATAGGACCTTTGTCTGAAATGCCAATGATACAAAAACTAAATACCAAGTCAAAGTGTGTTAATGTCTACGCACTAATGGCTTTGAAAGTCAATGCAAGTCAAAAATCTGCTCATCGGTGCATTCAGCATGGCTAATCTGATTAAGCTATTTCCCCCATTTCTCCAACTTCAACCAAGCAAACTCTTTAACACATCTATGCTTCTGAGACACGGCCCTTTTATTTCTAAGTTGGAAGCCTTAAAAACAACCTCTATTAACCTGTACTTTGCACATGATGCACAACTGTGCACTCCTTAGCCTAATTGCATCACATTCAAATTACGTTTTAAGTTAATTGGTTTAGGAACTTGAGTCAACTCTTCTTGAACTCACCCTAAGCAGAATAAAAACAAGGTACTCAGCGTGAAACAGTAGTCAGCCCTCCCTGGCATTCTCACATGACAATTAGACTGCTGTTCTGTTGTTTGAGGGCACCAGGGAGCACAGACTACTGTTTCACACTGAGTACCTTGTTTTTATTCTGCTTGGGATGAGTTCAAGAAGAGTTGACCCAGGTTCCCAAACCACAGAATATTATGGGTGCTAATTAAGTGCCCACACCAATGTGTGTTAAAAATCATGCTTTCTGCAGGATGTGCCTATTCTGAGATGCATGCTTAGTTGTGAGGCAGCAAAGTTACAGGTCACCCTCAGTGAAAGTCCAAAACCTGCCAGAAGGAACAAGGATGGGGTCCAAGCTAGGTCTTGAACCAGATTCCATGAGAAACATCTAAAATACATCAAGACCGCAAAGCTCACAGTTGGGTATTGCCTTTATCAAAATCAAGCAAAAAGGTCACAAAAATATGGCAAGCTGTTATGCAAAACAGTGAGAGGAGGAAAAACCAAGCTTGTTCAAACAAAGACCACAGGCTGAGTTAAGCCCATACCAGGTGCTACTTGATAGCAGGTTACACACACTCTTTGAGAAAACAAAGCCTAGCTTATAACTTTTGGGTCCGTTCTCAAAAAAGGTATCACCCAACTGTGGACTTCTGGATTTCTGCTTACACTGCTTTTTTGGAAATATTTCAGTTTCTGATTGGGAGGTTTCTCTCATCTCTAAAATTAAAACTGTCAAAGACACTCACATTTGCATCTACGGAGTCCAATGAACTCAAATTAAGAGTTCAAGTAAGGTCATTGTGACCCAAAACAGTACTAAGAATAGCTAAAAACAGGGTGCTTGAGCGCTGACCACCATTTCAACAGGAAACACTGCTAGGAATGCAGTAGTTCAACTTTGCAAACACACAACTGCATCTGCTGGCAGTTTTACCCCGTACCCACTTGGTGGGCTTCTGAGTCAGTGCAACATTCCAAGTTCTACATACTAACCTTGGTGTTTGGCATTCATCCAGCCCAATAAGTAGTTGCTAGTTTGCTGTAGCAGAACATTATTGTCTCCTTCATAGGTGCAATTTGGGTCGTTGTCGTTACGGATATCACCCAGCCGATTCACTTTTGGAAAGAACAGTTAACACGTAGGGACCTTGTATCAGTGAGCTGTGCTTGTGATTTAAATTTTATAAAACCACTTACTGACAATTATGGGAAACAATTATCTGTCAAGTTCACTTACTGGCCAGATAGCCATGTCCTCCACAAGCTTCTCTGCATTCCTGGGTTCCTTGTTGAGTCAGCCAGGAGGCCAGCGGTTTCCCCGAAGTAGATAAAGCATGGATTTCACGCCCGAGTTCCGCCTTGTAGAACCAGAACGAACAATGAATAATAGAACACTTCAGCACAGAGCAGAGCAGCTATGACAGAGGCCAAGGACGTAAATCAGGGGTTGGCAAGGTTTACCTCGCCCGGGCTGGTTCACTCCAGCGGAGATCCCTCTGTGGGCCGGATCGTGTGGGTGCGCACCCGCGATTTTCGGCATCTGCACAGACGTGATTTCCGGTGTCTGCGCATGCGCAGACACAATTTCCAGCAATGTGAAAGAAACTCCCCACCCCATGCTGGTTTAGCGCAACACGCGGGAACTCGCCAAGCGAGCGGCTCGGTTTGGCTCGTGGGCCAGTTAAACAACCCCTGTGGGCTGCTTGTGGTCCATGGGCCTTAGGTTGCTGACCCCTGACGTAAATGCTCAACTCTAAGCCTCTTTGCGCAGGCTTCTGCGTTACCAACAACCAGTGCTTTTTTCTGGGGGGGACTTGGGGGTACATATACCCCTCAACATTTTGTGAATCTAAGTTTGGCCTCAATGAGGGGCAGTATTTCAATATGAGTAGGAAAATGAGAGTACCCCTAAAGATTATTTTAGAAAAAAAAGCACTGCCAACAACTGTGGGAACTGCACAAGCAGGATTACCAACAAACATACTAGCAATTTCCTGCTCTTTAGAGAATACACCTCAGTGCCTGTGCATTTAGAACACGCAACACCTCCCTCCCCCGAAAAGGGCTCAACTGTAAAATTACTGTACTATTAAATTTATAGATGCAGTTAAAAGAAATTAAAACCCTAGCAACAACGGTGCCCCTCCTTCATGCTTACAAGTGATGTGTTTTAAAGAATAAATGAAAGATGCATGGGGGAAGAACAGAAGGAATGTAAAAGAGGAGGAGATTCAGTTGAGGTAAACCAAGACTAACGTGTTTCAACTATTTCTTTTATTTAACAAAATCTAGATACCGCTTGATTGTAATACGGTAAAACCTCTAGGCAGTTTACAAGAATATTAAATGTATCATTAAGAACAATTTAAAATGTTTAAAGATAAACAAAAATAAACAACCTGTTTCACAGTTAATTAAAATGTAATTCAGATATTACAAGATGCTCTTCCCCAAACGAATAATAAAATTTGGCTTTCATGATGTGTTCTTTACTGCATTATCTTCTCACTATTTATTTGGAAAATACAACCTTTGTACTGCTCCTATGTTGTGTAACTTTGATTATGTACTTTATTAACTGTATTTTTGATTTCACATTAATAAAAAAAACCCTTTATATACGTAAAAACAAGGCACTGAAGAAACAATAGGCTATATTTGTGAAATTTGTTGTGCATACAGAACTGGGTGTTTTACTCATATTCAGAAAGGTAACAGTGCTGTGCATTTTCCCACAGCTGGCAATACAGTTACTGTTTTCCTATCATGAAATTGGGGTGCAAGTTGCCATGTTCTGGGCTGCGAAGCATTTAGAACCCTCTGGTGAGCAGAATAGGTACACTCTTCAGACAGCGCGATGCTTGAATCCTGCCAGTCCAATAATGGACCAACTCATTTCCCACGCAATGGCTTATAACGAAGAATTACTGACAAAACCTTACCTGCTGTGGACTTTTGTCCTTCATGAGGAGGCCTATGTGGAATTCTATGGAGTTTATGAACAGCATTTTGGAGAAATGGTCTAAGACATAGGTGGCTGCTAAATACGGCAGCAAGCGCCATTGCTGGAAGAAAAATGAAATTTGCATGAGGAAAAACTGAGAGATACACATCCTTTTAAAACACTTTAAAAACACACAGAGGAGACATTTTTGTCCCCTTTGTAAAAGTGGTAATTTTCTTAACCTTCTTTCAGTGATCGATCACTCTGAGGGCCTTCTGGTGGTTCCCTCATTGCAAGAAGTGAGGTTACAGGGAGTCAGGCAAAGGGCCTTCTTGGTAGTGGCACCTGCCCTGTGGAACACCCTCCCACACATGTCAAGGAAATAAACAATTATCTGACTTTTAGAAGACATCTGAAGGTAGCCCTGTATCGGGAAGTTTTTAATGTGTGATGTTTTACTGTGGTTTTATAATTTGCTGGAAGCCACCCAGAGTGGATGGCACAACCCAGTCAAATCAGTGGCATGTAAAAAAAATTACAATCCTGCTTTATCCTGCCCCTGCAGCCCTCCTCCGCAAGCACTACTTTGGATTTTTCTGAGCCAGGATTTTTAAAACTCCAAATAGCAAAACAAAAGCATCCCTCCTCATTTAACAAGGAGCCACCATCCAGTTCCAACAAAACAGTTATCCTTGTTCATGAAGGATGTTTGTTTTTAAGGTGTTATATGTTAAAGGAGGACCCACTGGCCTATGTCTAAGACTTATGCTTAATTAGGAGTCTCACTGGGTGCAAAATCTAGCACTTCAGGCTTTTAAGGAGCACTCTAGATTTTCACCTGCATTTGGTATTCAAGAACAGGTATTTCTTCATCATCTGTTGGTCCAAATTGGCGCCGGGTAGCTGAGAAGCGAATCGCTATTGATATGGCGAGCTTTAAATTGACCACAGACATGGATATAATCATAACTCTTCCATTGGACAAAGCACCAAGAGAAGCTCCTAAGCGCTGCTTGCGATCCTAGAGAAATAAGATAGGATAAGCAGAAAGGCTTTAAGGATCTGTTTGAACATTTTGTACCCAGAAAATTCTCCCCAAGTACACCAAGTGTTAACATTCAAAGTATAATATTGTGTTTATGTTCTTAATTATACTGCGATAAACTCTGGAGAGCATGTGAGGAAGAACTAAACAGATTAGGCAATAAAAGGAATCCTTAGTTAAGAGCAATTAAGTTTTGCATTAAGCACACGGAAGTTAGTTAAGCACAATTCATACCTTGAAGGCACTTGCATACGCTCCCTCAGCTGTGACATCTCCGGTTTGGTTCAGCAAGTTCCTTTTCGGTATCCTGACATTGTGGAACATTGCAAAGCTGACAATCCAAAAAGAATGTATTAAGAGATAACACCTGCACATCCGATGAGCTGTATAAATCAAATGCTGAATACAGAGACAGTTATTAGTTTCACAGAACCAAGAGCAGACATGATGTTAAATGCATGAATGCATTTAGTGTGTCTGCTTCTCCTTTCAGAATAACAGCTGCAGGGGAACTCCTGAGAAGGTTCACGCTGCATGGGGCACTTTCAGTTGCAGTCAACAGGTCCTGTTGCACTACAAGTTCCATCATCCTTGACCACTGGTCATGTGGCTGGGGCTACGGGAGTTTAACATCTGGAGGCACCGGGTTGGCTCCATGTGACTTAACTCTATCATTCTTACATTTCAGTTCTGGTTATAGGCCTCCCTGGAGATGTGAAGGCTCAGGGGAAAATATGGAAACATTGCAGGAGGGGACTGTTCCCCATTAACAGCTGTAACCACTGCTACAACTTACTAGTTGCGTCATTTAAAGGAAGCAATCAGGAAAACTATGTGCAGCACAATCCAACTGTCTCTTGGCAGGTGATGGGTGTGTGTGTGTGCATACGCGCGTGAGTGTAACGCAAGGAAGTGACAGTGAGCAACACGTATTTTCTAGAATGAAAATTCCACAAATAATCCAGTCGGTGTCTTGGTTTACTTCCTCACACAACCTGGTTTGCATTTGTTTTGAAGCTTTGCCGGTCATCCTTGGGACCAGACTCTTCAAGTCAGTGCTTCCAACCTATAAAATGAGGGTTTTCTAGAACACCTGTTAAATGTTTGTCAATAATAGGCTGTGCATTCCGGGTCATGTGGCCAGCATGACTAAGTCACTTCTGGTGAACCAGAGCAGTGCACAGAAACGCCGTTTACCTTCCCGCTGGAGCAGTACCTATTTATCTACTTGCACTTGATGTGCTTTTGAACTGCTAGGTTGGCAGGAGCAGGGACCAAGCAACGGGAGCTCACCCCGTTGTGGGGATTCGAACCGCCGACCTTCTGATTGGCAAGCCCTAGGCTCTGTGGTTTAAACCACAGCACCACCTGCGTCCTGAATTAATTGTATCACTCTCCAATTTGGAATGTTTCTGCTCTTTAGACTATCTTTTAGTTGACTTTGAAAACATGTTTGGGTTTTGCAATCATTCCTTGAGAGGGAGCAGAGATGACTGTGAGATTCCAAAGCTTCTCTCCACTCTTTCATGTAATGGCGCACAATGATGTGGCAATGTGCTTGAACCATCTCAGACTGGGACAGATCAACCTGAAGGTCCTTTCACTGTGCGATGCACATGCTAGGATTTCTGTTCTCGAGGTCTGCAGAAGTGACTTGTAACTTTTGCAACATTACTTTGAAGTTCAGAGTATTTTGGTTCAAACTTACCCATTATCTAATCCATTCTGCCCAAGTTTTCTACCTATATCACCAACCAACACCCCTGGCATGGGAAGAAGTGTTTTCGGATCTCGGATCTGTAACAAATGCCTCCATTAAAACATTTACAAGAAGTCATTGAACCACCTTTTTGTTCCGGTTCAGAACTCTATACAATTAATTAGAAAAATGTGCACATCTGTTTCAATGCATGCAACTGGTTGGATTATATAGCTATGATCTAAAGGGCTCTCATATAGTTCACTGGGACAAGACCTAAGCTGAGAAGTGAATATACTTCTCCTCCCCTGGGGTTATCGGAGGCTGGGGGGAAATGTACTCACCAGAGGGGTGTCTAAGTAGACCCCTTCACTTTCTCTCACATAAATAAGTGTAACTGGGAACCATGCAGCGCTAGGGTGGGGAGAACCCACCTAAAACCCAATACACAACAAACTTCACATTTCCCACAGGCGCTTCTATGGGGCTCACAATGTCTTTCAGTACACGGCTCATTGTATGATTGCACTGTCAGGTGCCCTTCAGAGAAATATTTTTGCATCTGCTACAAGGGCATATGATGCTCCCCATCTTCATGGGTCTAAAGTAACACAGGACTCAGCAGCACAGAGCTGTGCTCATCTACAGCTGCAGTGTCTCTGAACTTACTGTCCAAACGCATACTGAGGGAGCAATGCTGAGATTGCACTGGGTTGTACATTACTTTCTGCTTGGCCAAAGAGAAAAAGGGCACTTGCAAGCCTTTCATACCCAGTAGAAAAATGTTTGCCTGAAGAGGGACACGTTTTAAGCGCCCCGCACACCTTTAGTGGTGCCCGAGTGATCTTATGCAATTTCCAGGCTAGCAAGTGACCGTTCCACAAAAAGTGTTTACAACTAGGAAATAGTAATAGGCAAATGCCACCAATGATCCAGGATAATGAAAAAGCTCTTGGCCTATTCCAATATTCTAGATTTAGATGAATTCATTCTCACCTGTACGACAAAGGAATGCAATCCATGGCACTGGCCATCCGGAGTATATAGCTGTGCGTAGACAACTGCATGAGTTGCATTCTTCCCCATGTTGCCAACCCAGAACTTTGCTGCTTCAAAATCCGGTGAGTGAATAATGAATTCCTACATAGTTGATAAGAGGGGGATGGGGAGAAAATTCTAAACACACTGTATATCTTCTCTGAAATATGAAGTTGGATGAATCTATTGACAACCTCTGTTCTGTGCTGTCGCAGCACAACCCCTGTCTACTTGGCGTTCAGCGGGGCTTTCTCTGAACTAAATGGGCACAGGACTGCAGCCTCAGTGAGCAGGACAGAAACGCAATGGAAAATAGTTTCACAGGAGTAAACAATACATACATTTTAGGAGAAAGGCTTCAAACAAAGCCACAGAGGCATTTTTCTTTTTACCACTGCACCACAGTCATGGAGCTCTTTTCCAAACTATTTACCAGCAGCAATGTGAGGTTGTAGGGTAGGGCTCTTCCCATGACAGGTCCCAATACAGTGGCCTGTCTGGATCAGGCCTTGCCCTCCGCCCTGCTTACTGCACAAGGGCTCCGGAAGCATCTCAGGGCCCTTGTACCATCTTCTCAGAGCCTAGCCAGCAAGGCAAAGGACTAAAAAAAGCTCTTTCCAGGTTGGAATTCTCCCGTGCCTCATTCATTCATTGGACCTGAGCCTACGTTTGTGATCATATAAATAGGTTACATATGAGTTGCAGGTCCACTGTATAGAAAAGATTAGAATACCTGGGTTCAGAAGTACAGTGTCCTATTTTAATAAAAAATTAAGTGAAGAATATTAGAGAACTTTACAGGGCACTGCTACTAACTTGCGTAGTCGGGTCATATCTAGCAGTAGTCCGCATGTTCTTGGTATTGCTGCCATGGCTTAATTCAGTCAGAGCAAAACATCCAAAGTTCTGGAGACAAAAGACACAAACTGAGTAAGAACTTGTATGATTCAAACCGGGATAGCGTAAACATTAGGGCAATGGGGGATCTCTGTTGTAAAAGAGCTGTCCTGGAGCTCCAGCTTACAAACTTCAAGATGTTCATCTGTGAGCTTCAAAGTCTAGTCCTTAAATGATTCAGAGTGTGCACACTGCCCTGCAGCCGGGTAGAGGTCACCCACTGACCAGCGGCTGCCCTTTGGGAAAGGGCATCTCCTCTGGCGTGCTAGGACAAAAAGGGGCCAACCCTCTGCAGGCTGCATTTGACAGGTGTGGGGTGTGCCCATCTTTCAAGCTCCTGTCAGGTGGATCTGATCTCTGCAGAAATGCATGCCAAATGCTTCCAGGCATGATCAGTTCCACTCAGGAGCTCTCAGCTGAAGTTTTGATCCCTTCTGGAAGCTGCAGGGCTTGCATTAGGATGCTGTTTAAATTTGGCACCCAGTGCAATGCCAGCATCCTTCTTTCAGCAAGGATTACAGCTACTGTCAAGAGTTCCTGAATGGAACTGGTCCTGCCTGGAAGAAGCGGGCAGAAGGGCAGCATCGTAACACAAATGAATTATCTGGAGTGTCGTCTGCCTCCTGATTTTTCCTTTGAAGCCACAGCTGTGCTTGTCCCACACCTGGCACCATATGATGTTGGGTTAGGGACAGGTGGCCACGCATGGCTATTGTGAGGCTGCAGCAGCTCTAAAGTGAGCCCTGAAATGTACTATATTTATCCTTTTTTAGCCATTTATTAAATTTGGATACCGCCCTTCATCTGCAAATCTCAGGGCAGTTCCTCCTTTCCCTCTCCTCCCACCTATCTGAGCTCAGTGCTTATATTACAATTCACAGGTGTAAATGTTTAGGATCAAGTCAAAAGGTAAATGTTAACACCAGGTCACCACAGCAACAAGCAAAATCCAAAGCAGGCATAGGCAAACTCTGCCCTCCAGATGTTTTGCGACTACAACTCCCATCATCCCTAGCTAACAGGAACAGTGCTCAGGGGTGATGGGAATTGTAGTCCCAAAACATCTGGAGGGCCGAGTTTGCCTATGCCTGATCCAAAGCTTAGTCAATGTATTAACAGTGAAAAAACACAAAATGAAAAAGTTTCCTTAAGAAGTTAAAAGAAAACTCTTTGCTTTATCCAAAGGAGTGTGCATAGAGTCCTTTAGAAGGAGGATCAGCTTTCTCAAATCCCACAGTTCAGAGAAGCACTACTTCCCTTTCTGAACATTTTTTTTATGCCAGGGTGGGGATTATGTGGCCCTGTATATGTTGCCAGACTACAACTCCCATAATCCCTGACTGCTGGTTGCACTGGCTGGTGCTAATGGGAACTGGAGTTCAACAACATCTACATGGCAACAGGCTTTTCATCCCTTGGCTAAGTTTACACCTTTTGAAAACTGTTTGGTTGTGGGAATAGGGGTCATGCACACAGAATTGACGTATACAGCTTAGGATACGCATGTGGAATCCTGCTTCTACCTGCATCACCCTTAACAGAAGCAAGGTGAGCATCTTTTGGGCAGGTATGTTTGTGGCTTTGTGCTGAAGGACTGCACTCTTCTGATTTGATGCTGCAAGGCACTTCTTGAACTATTGCCTTATAAATTTGTATTAGATATTGGTGCTGATGATCCTGCAATAGTTTCATAAATGATGAATAAGCAAACTGATCCAGATAATTCATCACTTCCACTGTAAGAAACTTTAATTATGGTTTTCCGACAGAAACAGAGAAGCACTAGTAAATCAAAATGAAGTAGCTCCATATGAGATACTATTTTACAAGAGATTTGCTGATATTGCTTCATTAGTATACGTAGCTAATAATCTTGTTTTTAGAAACACCATTAACTCAAAATTAGTGGCAGTATATATACTGTATTTTAAAGCAAAGATTGATTTAGGAAGTTTAAAGAGTACCTTCATATTTGCATTATCTTTAATAAATTCTTCATGTCTTTTAGAGCCAGAACTCTCAATTGTACTTTTGAACACCTGTAAACATTAAAGACAATTAGCTGATGTAAATGATAAATAGTAAAAATCTTTTTGTTAAAGTAGAGGAAGGGGTCAAAATGACATGTTCAATAAAGATTTGAGATAGAAAAGCATCACTGCTCACAGCTCAAACCGCACGTCAAGTGTTAAGTTGCTCCCTTCCTAGGAGAAAATGCTATTCTGTGATATTTTACGCTATTCTGCATCAGGAAACACAACTTCATTACAAGAAAATAATTTTCCTCCTGGTTTCAGCTGCAAAGTGAAATAATGAAAATAAAAAGGAATGATTCCTTGATCTCTGGATTATTATTAAGCAATAGTACAATATCTTCTCAAGGCCGGTGAAGAGAACAGGTTTCATCCTAGAGCACTTGCCACCATCCCACAACCCTCAGTCAATTTTCCAAAAAGGGGGTATTTGTAACTGGGCAGTAGTCATCACAAGGCAATGGGCCCAGGGTGATTTTTTCAAGGAGTGGCCGTATCACTGTCTCTTTCAAGATGACCAGAACCACTCCATCCCAAAAGGATGTGTTGGCCACACCCAGTATGCATGTGATCACACACCCAACATGAAAAGAAGGGCAGGAGCCAATAAAACATGTCCCCAGGACACATCCATTGATCCCAAAAGGGTGATGAGGCTGAATTGAACTGTTGAGTAAGTTTGACAATCACAATAAAATCAAACATGGAATGTGTTCGTTTTCAACCTTTGACACGCAAAGGCTCTGGTAAAGATCTAGTGAGGATATAGAGGTAAATCCTTCCACTGCCATAATGATGATGATGATGATGATGATGATGATGATAATAATAATAATAATAATAATATTGTATTTATATCCCGTCCTCCCCAGCCAAAGCCGGGCTCAGAGCGGCTAACAGTAAAATAATACAGCATTCTAAAATTAATTCGTTATAAAATCAGTTCAAATCAAATTAATGGCAACCATTGGGCTAGAGTTCTGTGAGGATTACCAAAGGAGAGGGTCAGGCTGTGCCTTGGCCAAAGGCCTGGTGGAACAGCTCTGTCTTGCAGGCCCTGCGGAAAGATGTCAAGTCCCGCAGGGCCCTAGTCTCTTGTGACAGTGGTCCACAGTGGTCCACCAGATCAGGGCCACAGCCAAAAAGCCCTGGCTCTGGTTGAGGCCAGCGTAACCTCCCTGTGGCCCGGGACCTCCAAGATGTTTTTGTTTGAAGACCGTAAGGTCCTCTGTGGGACATACCAGGAGACATACCATGTTTCAGGTCTTCCCATCCTGCCTCCTCCTCCTCCTAATGGGAAGCTGGGGAGAGTTTGTTCTTCCTATTCATCAGGACTTTTGTGTTCAAGGCACTGCTGCCCACTGCTGTCAGAATAATGATACTACTTGTTTAAAAGGGTTTAGAGAAGCCCAAACATCTGCCAGACCTAAGCATTTTTATTTTTTTTTTAAAGTAAGTTGCTTGGAGACCTTTCAGGCAGTGCTATTTTCCTAGAAAAAGAGATGCCGGAACTCACCATGAACACCTCCCTCGTTCTCTTAGAATGGTAATGGCGCCCACCTGAGAGGTGCCAGAACAGTGTTCCTGTAAGTTCCCCCGGAAAAAATGCCCTGCTTTTAGGCAACAAGCAACTGATAATAAAAACAGTAATGGAATGTCAGGTGGGAATTCTGCCTGTTCACCATCCGTGTCTGTCCAAAAGGGAGAACTTTAGGAAGATGCTACATAACTCTTTACACCATTAGGTGCTTCTTAACCCTAAAGGTTTCTTGGCCAGCTCAGATCACTGCTGTAAGCGACTAGGAGGTTTTGTAGACTGTCTGCTTTGCTCCCTGTATGACAAAAACCAGCTTAGCTTAAACCCAAAGGAGACAGTGCAATTCTGTTAGCTTCAATCAGAATCTGACCAAGCTCTGTATCAACACAGGGAAATGGTTTATATAAAAGTAGAGAAACAGTAGTTTAATCATTTCTCACAGTTAGATGATTAGATGACATGATGAGATAATGGTTTATAATTCTGATACCAGTTTTATAAATTTATTTATTTATAAAAATATTTATATACCACTGTATCATAAAAACATATCACAAAGGTTTACAACTATATAAAAATATACCGTAAAACCAAAGAATTGTTACAATATGAGTACATCGCAGCTGCAAACTGGCAGCTTGTTTACATCACATGATGTGGCTAGTCCTGGGAAAGAATCTTCCAGGCAGTTCACGGGATACACAAGGCTTTGTTCCGTGTGTAATATGAGACCTTCCTGTTGCGTTTGTAAAGGAAGTCTGAGTCACTTACTTGGAGAAGTTTGAACTGATCGGACATGTTTTCTGTAGAGTTGTACAGTCAGAAATAAACAAGATGTAAAAGGACTTTCTGACTATTCTTCTTTCCCCTGTGAAAGGGGAGAAGGGGGTGTGCATCTTCCCCACTGGGAGATGTCGCCTATCAAGATCTCCCTGGTCTGTCTGGGATGCCAGCCAGAGGAAGATCACCGGTAAACAAGCTCCGGGAGCGGGGAGAGAGGCCAGCCTCTCCCGAGGGGGCTAGTTTTCCAACAAGAATAACATCCTAAAACCACCCTGAGACCTCCGGGTATAGGGTGGTATATAAATTCAATACTAATAATAATGATACAGTGGTACTTCTAGTTGCGGACACAATCCGTTTCGGGGTGCCATTCGCACCCTAAAAAGTCTGCAACTAGAGCGGCGCTTCTCCGCAAGTGCGGAGTGCAATAGAGCACTTCTGCGCATGTGCGAAGTGCACAGAACGCTGTGTATACACTTCCGGGTTTGCCACGTTTGCAACCCCAAAATCCACAACATGAAGCGAACGCAACTAGAGGTATGACTGTAATAATAAGTGAAATAATAATAAGTGAAAAGCAATTTAAAAGCAAAAAGAAATTAAAAACAAATATCAATAGACTATTGTGGAGGGTGTATGTTCAAGCAATGAAGTTTTCACTACAATTACCACGTGAAAAAAAGTGTCAAGCCACTATAGCCTCTAAATCAAAAGCGTACATAGAGCAGCTCAGATGCAATCTCCAAAAATATTTATCCAAAATAAAAATGGAATGCTTTGCTAGTAGGCTTGAGTCTTTAAGGAAATCTATAAAAGAGCTTACACCTGCATTGTACATACCTGGGAATTTAGCAAATATTTGGCTCCTAGAGACCAGTCATACATCCCCAGGCAAGTAATCAGCGCTACAACTTTTAATGGTTTCTCAATTATGTCTTCTAGCCGTAGAAAATCATATTCAAAGAGTTTCCTACAGCGGAGGAAGGTTAGTTCACGGTATTTCTCAAGAGGTAATTCTTCTCCAGTGTGACGAGCAAAGAGAGGGTCATTTTCAAGAGCTGAGAATATTCTGTTCTTCATGGAAGAAACACATCAGAATAGCTGAACGTCAGATTTGAATTTATCATTGAACTCAAGTATTCATATTTTATATATTAACACATTTAGTCATTTCCCTATGCCATAAGAAATGTACAAGGACAAGGACAATCAGGAAGCCGTTTAAAACTTAATAAATGTCAACCATCTTAAAAGCAATATTACATAAGTTCACATCCAAATGTTGCCTCACTGATTAAAAGCCCTTTAAATCATTATTATAGATATTGCATTTCATGTACTGCACTAAAAGCAGTAGAAGTTTGGATCTGATAAAGAAGCGGATAATTTCAATTTTATACCAATATAATTGTGTGGTTTTCCTCCAGATCAAAAACACAATACAAAAGAAATCTATCCCCTCCTCAAAAGGCTTCCAATATTTTTGAGAATATTGCTTTTACCCAGTCCAAGATGGAAAACCCTTTAAGCATGAACATCATGCACAGTCCTATCAAAATGTAAAGTAACTTACTGGACGGCCATTTACACTGACAAAAACAAAAACACCTCAAATCCCTGTTTATCAAGGATCATGGCTCTCTTGACCTAAGAAAAGATCCCTGGCCATGTGAATCCCTTGGCCAGTCAGGCCTCACAGGAACCAGAATTTAATGGTACATATTGGATACTTTAAGGGGGGTTATGGCAGATTGTGTTTAATTTGCAACATCGTTTTAAAAGAAATATTATTCTAAGCCTTACTTTAAAACGGAGGAGATCTTCTTCCTCTACGAAGAGTGCCATCTCTTTCCAGTTGAAGGATGCTTTCTTCCGGTAGGCATCCAGCGGTCCACTGGGTAGGTCTGGGAGCACCAAAGTGTTCCAAGAGCTGACCTTTTCCCGATCACTGACAGATGCCATCTTAACATGCAATGTTCTGTAAGCAAACCCAAAAATCATTCAAAGCAAATGCCTTTTCAAAAAAGAAGAAATCCTTCAAAAGTTACTTGTGGAGGATAACAGAGCCAGTGTAGACCACCCTCTCAGTGTACATTAACAGCTCCTGGTGCTGTGGGTTAAACCACAGAGCCTAGGACTTGCTGATCAGAAGGTCGGCGGTTCAAATCCCCGCGACGGGGTGAGCGCCCGTTGTTCGGTCCCTGCTCCTGCCAACCTAGCAATACGAAAACATGTCAAAGTGCAAGTAGATAAATAGGTACCACTCCGGTGGGAAGGTAAACTGTGTTTCCGTGCGCTGCTCTGGTTCGCCAGAAGCGGCTTAGTCATGCTGGCCACATGACCCGGAAGCTGCACGCCGGCTCCCTCGGCCAATAAAGTGAGATGAGCGCCGCAACCCCAGAGTCGGTCACGACTGGACCTAATGGTCAGGGGTCCCTTTACCTTTAAAAGAGAGGTTGCTGCTGCTAAAAACTTTACCTTTTCTCTCTCTGACTGGATACGGGAACTGTCTTTGGTCAACGTAAATAAACTTCGACCCTGCGCAAAGAAAGCTACAAGGGGTGCTTAGATACAAGAAGGAGCAGCTGGTTTAGGGGCCTGTTGACACGTTCACTGCCTCTCATGCCACTGCTTTCATAAGCAGGTAATCGCTAGCTATGCAAGGCAGCGCCCGAGTCCAACTTCCACGGCCTGCGCAATCGGACAGGTTCCTTGGGCAAGCAGCTCCCACTCCGGGCAAGGGCGCTTCTCCAGCCAAGGCGCGCAAGGCGGCCCTCCAGCCCCCGCGGAGCACCGGCGCAGCGGCCAGTCGGGGCTCCTTTTCCAGCGACGCGTTTGCGCCCCTCCGCCTTCCCACTCGCGGCAAAGGTCCCCGAGGGGATCTTGCGGCGAGGCGCGCAAGTGAGCGGGAGGCTGGGGGGGGGGATGGAGGCGCCGTTTTCTGCGCGAAGGGGAAAGAGGTGGGAGGCCCCTGCCGACTCCCCCGGGACTTGACGCACCCGCACCCACCGTCTCTCCACGGGCACGGAAAACGCGAGGTCGCCGCGCTGCGCACCTTCCCCGACGGCGACAGACTTCGCTCCGCGCCCCGCCCCGCGTGCGCGCGCGCAGAGAAGCACGCCGCCCTCTCCTAGGACGCGCGCAGAAGCGCGCAGCGCCGCCTCCCGCGGAGCCCCGAGGCAGGGCATCCAAGCCAGCCCCGGACGGAACGGGCTTCCTGCAGCGCGCCTGGGCTCTTCGTCGCCTCTGATGGGTCTCAATTCGTGATTGAACTTACGAGACGCCGCCTCTCGCCCCAAGATCCCAGGGCGGTTTGCGGCGCGGAGAATCGCGCTGACTTCCGCACCTGCGGCTGCCTTTTCTTCGGCGGTGAGAGCTTTGCAGCCGCCGTGAAGTTACATGGAAATCCTGCCTTGCCCCCTGTTTGTTGGATGGCCACCTGCCCGTGGGTGCGTTGGTTCAGATTCCTGCATTGCCCGGGGGATGGGCTAGATGACCTCTGGAGGTCCCTTCCAACTCCCCCATGATTCCTACGTTGCTATGACTTCCTCCAAAGGGGAAGAGGTTTCTTATCTCTCGTTGTTGTTCTTGCAAGCGACTCCTCCCGGAATAACCCCACGAGCAAGGAAAGCGCGCCGCTCTTGACCTTTTTCATAGCTCTCTGGGTGAGATGGAGCGGAAGAGCGGGGCGGGGACAGCTCCTTGGCCGGATGTGACGTCGTCAACCCGCGCCGGGCGCCATGGAGCTGCTGGCGGAGGCCTCCCTGCGGGGCTCGGCGCTGCTCCCGGGGGGCTTCTGGGCGGCGGTGGGCGTGTGGCTGGAGAAGCCCCAGGTGGCCAACAAGCGGCTGTGCGGCGCTCGGCAGGACGGGGCTTGGCGGGCCGCTCGGCCCGGGGCAGGCGGGGAGGGGAGCCCCGGGAGGCGGGCGCTGGAGGCCGCGTGCGAGGCCTTCTGCCGCTGCTGCCGCGAGGACTTCGAAGCCCTGGGCCTCGCCGGCCCCGCCGAGGAGGAGCTGGAGGTGGTGCTCCGGACGCTCGTGCCCAAGGCCTGCCCTCCCGCGCCCGCCAGGGAGATGGTCGTCAAAGGTGACTTCGGGGCGGGAGGAGGAGGAGGAGGAGGAGGGATCGGGGCGGCCGTCTCGGCCCTGCCTCGCGCCGGCCGCGGCTCCCCAGAGCGAGCTCCGACCTTGGGCGGGCAGGTGGGTTGAGGAGCTTTGCTTGTATGCCCCGCCGCGAAATTTAGCGGTGAATGACAGCAGAAGGCAATCAGGTTTTCCGCCATGGAAGGCAAATAATAATAATTTGTTATTTATACCCCGCTCATCTGGCTGTGTTTCCCCAGCTACTCTGGGCAGCTTCCAACCGAATATTAAAAACAATACAGCATCAGACATTAAAAACTTCCCAAAACAGGGCCGCCTTCAGTTGTCTTTTAAAAGTAAAATAGTTGTTTATTGCCTTGACATCTGCTGAGAGGGTGTTCCACAGGGTGGGCGCCACCACCGAGAAGGCCCTCTGTCTGGTTCCCTGTAACCTCACTTCTCGCAGCGAGGGAACTGCCAAAAGGCCCTCTTTGGAGCTGGACCTCAGTGTCCGGGCTGCATGATGGGGGTGGAGACGCTCCTTCAGGTATACAGGAGCCACTCTGTGCGGGGCAAACGGAGAACACTAAGGGCTTGTCCACAGTTCCACTTGGCCCTTGCATAGAAAGCACAGGTCTGAGCAGTTTCCCGTTTGGCCCACCGCTTCCCCCAGGAAAACTTGCTCTTTGCTGCTGAATTGGGAGCAGTCGTCCATCCACGGAAAATCTAGTTGACGTTTGCTCTGATTCAGCGGTAAAAAGCGGGTTTCTTGGGGCGGGTGGAAGCAATGTGGCAGGCAGAAGTTTGGGTGAGCCCTAGCTTTGTCCAAAGTGGCCCAAAGCAAAGAGAAAACATTCAGAACATCAAAAATGAAAAGTATTGGATATATATATCACACACACACACACACAGAGAGAGAGAGAGAGAGAGAGAGAGAGAGAGAAAGTCAGTAAATTCAAAAATCAGCTATGTGCTTGATCTTGGTGGGCAGAGACACCTTATTTCTACAGTGGTACCTCAGGTTACATACGCTTCAGGTTACAGACTCCGCTAACCCAGAAATAGTACCTCAGGTTAAGAACTTTGCTTCAGGATGAGAACAGAAATTGCATGGCGGCGGCAGCGGGAGGCCCCATTAGCTAAAGTGGTGCTTCAGGTTAAGAATGCACCTCCGGAACGAATTAAGTATGTAACCAGAGTTACCACTGTATAGGCAATGGCTTCCTTGTGTCAGTGTGGCTCCGCTAACTAGCAGCACTGTGTATTTCTGTGTTCAGCGCAGGTGGGAAATTAAGCATTGGGCCTTGCTAGGAAAGGGCTTGAGCATCAAATGGCAAGAGCCTCCACAGCCATCCACAATAGGGTGTTGGCCTGCTTACAATGTTATTGTAAAGGTTGCAGCAATATGATGCAATATAGTGCTGCAATATGATGCAATATAATGCTGGCCTGCTTACAATGTTATCGTAAAGGTTGCAGCAATATGATGTATGCTACGTAAGTCTTAAACACTACTCTGTTTCTCAAAGGTAAATAAAACCTACTGTTGTGAAATATTTACAGATATATTTAATGGGACCGTAACTTTTTTGCCATTGGTACAAACCCATGATGGGAAATACAAGATCAAGAAGAGCAATATTTATCAAGTTCGACTTCTGCGTACACAAGACAATGAATGGTGGGTGCTGAGAAGATTTTTCACTCTTTGGAATGTATTTGTCATGTGGAATTATTACGGTGTGTGTGGTGGCTAGGGTATAACGTTTTTGGAAATTTATGAAACCATTAAATAAAAATCATGCACACCCAACTTACACATTGAAATATAAGCAGTTGACTGCTTCCTGACACACCTAAACCTATTTCACTACTTTGGTAGCATAAAAAGCATTTATAACTGAGGTGGCATACAGGCAACTCCCCATTTATGTGTGGGTTCAACTGCAGGTCTATCCTCTTCTGGGGCTGAAAACAGCGTATGTGTCAGCAGTCACGCATCACTTAAGCACGCAGAAAATAATTGCCACCTGTATATAATTTTTACTATTTAGCCTATATATGAAATTTAAAAAGCAGTCCTATCTCTGTATGTTTACTCAGACTTACCCTGATATATGGAGTGTTTCCCAGTTGTACACATAGGACTGCAGCCTCAAAAGTATGGAGGCCCAAATTAAGGCAAGCAAAATCATGAATACTCCCAATCCTAGAGAAAGAGTGCTCCAAACTTCTGCACGGTGCTACAATAAAATTTATTTATACCAAAATTGTCTCCTGCTGTCATGGTATTAAGGGCAGAGCACAGCATATTACTTGTGGAAAATAAACACCCTTTAATGCTAGTATGCAAAACAGTAATATAGTAAGCCCACAGCTTGCATAGGAGTTACATTCCAAGGGTTTGCCTGCAAAGGCAAAACTTTGCAATGTCCAGAAGACGCCCCGGAACCACCCCTGCGTTACTTCCTACATTACTAGGTTCTGGAAAGGATGTGTGAGGCCTCTGGAAGGCTGTGGGAGCCTCCCATGAGATCCAGTAAGCAAGGTGGTGGGTTTAAAAACCCTTTTTGGGCAGGAAAATCTGGCACAGAAAAAGCTTTTTAAGTAATCTGTCTTGCTTACCCAGCTCTGGGGAGGTCATGCAAGATCTAATGAGGCCTTTTGAGATCTCGAGATGGCCCATTCGGACCCGTGATAGAAACTCAGATATGTAAGCTAATCACCAAATGGTACCTTAAACCTAAGTTATGGTCGCCATAACGGAACATATTTTTAAAAAAATGAAATATATTGCTATTATCATTATTATTTTCATTTCTATCCTACTTTATATTTAAAAAATAATAATCTCAAAGTGGTTTGCCTGCCTAATTTATAGAGATGCCCCATAGCAGAAGTCCTCTAGGAAGCCAGTGTGGTGTAGTGGTTAGAGTGTCGGACTAGGACCAGGGAGATTGGAGTTCAAATCCCCACTCAGTCATAAAGCTCATAGGGTGACCTTGGTCCAGGCACAGCCTCTTAACCTACCTCACAGGGTCATCGTAGGGATTAACTGAGGAAGGTGAACTGTGTACTCCTTGGAGAAAAAGGTGGGAGATAAATGCAGTAAATAAGCTCCCCTTACCTGCTTAAGAAAACTGGAGGGGCCAGCCAGAAGGAGACATCAGTTGCCAGTCTGGCATCCAGAGATCTCCACATGGTCATAATTGGACCCTTGGCAGTTGCAAAATGTGCCTGGCACCTGGGGAATTTCCAGCATTGCTTCTGACACTCTTCCCTGCTCTCCCATTTATTAATTTTTCTGCCACTCATTCAAAGCTGCAATCGCATAAGTAAACCATGTGTAAGTTGCAGCTCTGCGGTACCATAAATACTAGCATCTGTAACCAGAATCTGTTTCTTCATAATTAATAACTGAATCCAAGGCTTCATTTTTATCTCCATGGATGGCAAAAAAGTTGAGTTTTGCACAAATGGGACCCATGTTTCCATCACATCTTGGTCATATCATTTGGTGTGAGAATTCTAAACATGGGTCAGTTTATTTCACGTGAAGGAGTCTGAAGCATGTACATAACAGGAGTTGGAGGCTGCATCACACAGATCTAAGTGTTATATATCTACAGAATACACAGAACTACAGGCGTCCCACACTTACGTGAGGGTTACGTTCCGGGGCCCCCACATGAATAAGCGGAAATCGCATAAGTAGGAAGCACCCTCTAAAAAGCCTCTAAATGCCATTCCCGCCCCCCACTCCCACTCTCTCTCCAGTCAACTCTCCTTTCAACTAGAGTTGAAGCTCTGGAGGCTGGGAGGACATATGGAAAGTGGCGGCAGCGCTGCGCTACCACCTGCGGCAGCTGCTAGACCTAAATGAAGCCCCGCTGTGCCTCCAGTGTCTGGAGCTTTTACCATCCCTGAAGTCCTCTTTGGGCTCCCGGGGAGCCACAAGAACGCTCCAGCTCTCTCTTGCCATTTCCTGGTTTGAATCTATTTCCAGATTCATGCGCAAATCAATTGCACTTAAGTTGGACGCCTGTATCGTTCTATAATGCTATTGATTGCATTACCTAAAACTCTTCTTGCAACACATTCCTTGAGAGTGTAAACCGTTATCTTAAAAAGGATTTCACTGATACGAAATTCTTTATTGTCCTAATTTATCAGTTTTATCACTGGGGGGCAAGGTGACATTTCCTCTCCCCCCCCCCATTGCTTTCCTCATAGACCTCTGAATCTCTATTACCCAGACAGCTAACTTGGAAAAAAATATTTCTTCAAAGTTTATTGAATTTTTCCATTAATGTGGTTCAGTTATGCCAAGCTTCTCTCTTTTTAAAAATAGCCAGCCTAAAACTTAAAATTGCATTTAATAGAAATTAGGGAGGTTGGACCCAGCCATGATGACATAGACCTTAGTTACGGCCAGATTGGTTTTGTTGCAATGTGTTTTGTATGGGGAAGTCCATGGAAACATAACCTCTGGCCACCTTTTAAATCCCTAAGTGGTTTGGGCCCATGATACCTAAAGGACAATTTCTTTCTGATACGAGTCTGACCCTTCAGGGTCTAAAGGGGCGGCTGTTCTTCACATTCCCAGGAAAGTGAAGGCATGATTGCTTGGGATGCCAGAGATCGTATTCTCTATGGCTATTCCCAAACTGGAATTCCCTTTTCCAAGAAATTTGGTTGACCTCCTTTCTTCCAGTCTTGTGGTCAAACATTTTTCCAGCAGGTGTTTTGGCCTTGTCAGACTGAGTAGTTTTTAAGAGACCGGTCCTCTGTAGGTTTTGAGGTTTATCTACTTTTCTTGCCTTTGATCTTCAAGGTTTTATGATTGTATTGATTTGTTTAATGGATTTTGTGGGTGTTTCTAAAAGCATTGTGTCTGCAGTGCGAGAGCAGGGTATATATATTTGTATCTAAACTAAGAAAAATAGGTGGCATAAGTCCAGCTTGTCTTGTCTGTCACTTTTCTGCCTTGTCTTCTGATAGGAATGAGCACATACAACATTGAGTAAGGTAGGCTAATTAGGTAGTGTGCTAGGCCCTCAAGTCATCTCAAAACCTATTATCCTTTCTCTTATTTCTTTCCTCCTTTCCTGGAAAGAAAGGTTTAGCTGACAGAGTTAAATTCATGCACCCATACCATAAACATGCAAGAGCCATTCCTCAAAGGCAGCTTCCTGTTTTTGATACCTGATCATTCATAGTCAGACACACACTGAGCCACAGATGATTTCAAGCACTTTATTATTGAGCAGCTCTGATTTCCTTTTTTCTTTTTTTAATGTTGAAGGTCTATTTCAATGTTTTCATCACCTCCAGAAAACTACATTTCAGATGGAATTCTGTGCCCTAAAACATCATGGCTTGGAAGTGAACTGCTGCCAAAACTTGCTAAATGGTCCACAGAGACCACAAAACGTGAATTTAAGAACACACTCTCTCTCATTTCTGTTGCTAGATACAGCAAAATTTATCAAGATCTAAAGGAAAAGTACAAAGACATTGTAAAGGTAAAGAGCAGAACGACCAGATAAACTTTTTGCTGTTCAATTTTTAATTAAAATGTATGTGACAGTGTTTGTATTTCAAATCTGAATGCACGCTAAAGAAACTTCATTCGAATCTTTCACTCCATACCTAGATATTTGTATGGTGGGGAATGTTAGTATTTGTAATATGGCACAGTGATGAGCAAAAAGCCTTGCCTTTAGGGATTTTCAAGACAGCTTGCCTCCAAAACATCCCTCCCTTAAAATGCTCCAACCTTGCCAAAGAGGCAAACTGCCATTGCTCAATTCCCGTCTTCTTATTCGTACAACTGGCTCTGTGGACCTACAGTGGAATCTAAAAAAATGGGGCACTTTCTAGAAAGGCCCCCCAATCTTGTGAGTTTTCTGTGGGCTGTGTATGTGTGTATATTCCCTGCCCAGAAACCTATGTCCCCACTGTGGAAGGATCTGTGGATCCTGAATTGGCCTCCACAGTCACTTAGGGACACACCGTTAAGACCATATTCATGGAAGACAATCTTTCTCGGCTACAAGTGATCGCCAGAGAGGGATACTACTATCTACTATGTGTAGATATGTGTGGGTTTTTTGTATGTGTGTGTACAATTCTGAATATTCACAGTTAAATGAATCGTCATTTTTTTCTTGTTTACCTGCAGGTATGGCCTGAAGTAACAGATCCAGAAAAATTTGTATATGAAGATGTTGCTATAGCTTCATACCTGCTGGTGCGTGGTGGTACAAAATATCTCTAAAAATGGAGATTTATCTTTTTTAAAAAAAGAAACAGATTTCACATAGTGCTTGTAAAAGACAAGATGGAATTTTAACAAATGGAAATGTGAATTTGACTTTAAAATGCACAGCTGATATAAAAGTCTGAAATAGAGACAGAAATAATGGTCTCAGCTTGGAAATGCATTTCCAAGGGATGACTGATAATGAGAGATGATGGCTTTGGGTTTTAAAATATTTGATTTATCATGTGTATGTTATATCTATGAAAAGGAAAAGTACAAAACTCAGTGCACAAAAAGAAGAAAATGCATTGACACACAAGAAGACAAAGCAGTAAGAACTAAGCATTTGTCTTGTGTGTTTATGCATTTTCTTCTTTTTTTGTGCACTGAGCTGTGTTCTTTTCCTTTAAGAGCTATTCTTAGTACAGGCAACTCCCCACTTTTGTGGGGGTTAATGAAGTCTCTAATCAGAGACTTACATTTCTTAAAGAATGTAGATGGACATTTCTTTATCCTTCTTGTCAAAATAGAATGTAGCCACGTACCCCTGTTGCAAACACCATTAGAAAATCATCTTGATTTCTGTAAACAAGCCTTTTTATAGTTTTCATTAATGCTGGTTTTGCCACCAGTGGTTTTTTAAAAATCGGGTTTTGTCTTTTTCTTAGATCCTTTGGGAAGATGAGAGAGCTGAGAGAGGATTGTCCAAGAAACAGTCTTTTGTGGATCTTGGCTGTGGAAATGGTCTCCTGGTTCACATTTTAAACAACGAGGGGGTAAATAATTTGAAGTTGTCAACTTATTTTATTTCTTTATAAAACATTTATATACTGCTACCTCATTATTGTGAATAACTTCAATATTTTTTACAATACAATACAAGCACACAAAAATTTAAAACTCAAGGCTACAACTAACTATTATAGAAAGATTTTGCTTCAATGTCTGCAACAACCCAGCAGCATAGACAAGTTTTCAGCAGGCATTTAAAGGTTGAAACAGAAGGTGTTTGTTGTTACTCATGCATTCTGCTATATAAACTGAAATACTACTGGGTTGCTATATCCCTCAGTCCTATGCCTGCCTGCCCAGAGTATATTTTCTCTCACGTCTGCAATCTCAGGACAATGGGCAGTTGGAGCAGAATGGTTTTCCTGGTAAGGTGGGGAAAAGCAGGTTGTCTGCAGCTGCTCCTTGGCTGGCCGATGGTTGTGGCTCAGGTGGTATTCTATTTGGGATTGAAGGCTCGCAGCCTCTAAATGGGCCTTTGGCTGCTGGCTGAGGCCATAGGGGACGTGGATCTGTTTATTTTTAAATGTATGTGTCTATTTTTGTGTTATGATTTATTTTAAGCTTTTGGAGACCTTTTGGCAGAAAACCAGCTCCCAGATACGTATAATCACTGCTTCAGCCTCTAACAGTGAATAGTATTCTCGAAGGGGCTTCAATAGGGGCATTTCTGTTAACAGGAGACAATGAACTGCAACATTTTGTTGTAGGACTCACATAAACACTGTATAAAAACTTGTCTTAGCGCTGATGAAGTAGAATCAGGCAATACATTGGGATGAGGGGTAAGGTAAAAATATGGTTTTACAATCAGGCATTAGTCCTGTGAGAGTCCCCTACTTTCATTACAATTTGTGCTCCTTTTGCTGCCCTGGACTCCTTTAGGAGGAAGCATGGGATATAAATTGAACAAATACTAGAAGAATTTATGCTGATTTCAGGATGTATGGTGGTATTCTGTTCACTGTTTGTATTGTTTTTGGAAGGAGCATCTAAAAAGTAAGGTACCGTTTAACTGATAATTCACACATGGAATCTTTCAGCATCCAGGCAAAGGAATTGATGTCAGAAGAAGAAAAATATGGGACATGTACGGCCCACAGACGCACTTGGAGGTATTGTTGAAACATGGGCTTTCTGGATGGAATCTTTATAAACTGCATCTAACTCAGAACTGCCTTTTGCAAACAAGCTCACTTACAGTACAGTCCTGTGCATGATTACAAGGAAGTAACGTTTCATTGAGTTCAGTGAGGTTTATTCCAGGAAAATGGATGTAGGATTGCAGCAGAAGGGCAAAAGACCCACAACTTTATGTAAAGCATATCAAAATGTAGCCTAGCCCATTTTGTAAGTCTGTATTTGTTCACAAGATTGTGCAGAGAAAACATTATATCAGCTTCTCTTCTCCACCCCCCCAATTGATTTTGTTGTTAACACTGGATACTTATATTTCGATCTCTCAAACGGAATAAGAGTAGTTAACAGGAGGCAAAGAAGTCTTAGGCTGATCATTTGTAGGGTTTCCACAGAGACCTGATGTTCATATACGTCATAAGGACTCTTTGTATTACCTGTATCATTTGTAACTGAGCTTTTGTTGTTGCAGTGTTTTATGTTGTAAGCTCTTCTAGTTTCTTTTTAAAGAAGAGTGAGGTAGAAAATTTGTACAATGAAGAAGTAAAAACAAATTAATCCCGCATTCACTTTAATTTGGATTGTTGATTCTTTCTCTCACTGTCTCAACCTTCCCCATCAGTGTGAGAGAGAACACCACACAGTAATTGACCTATACATTATGAGAGAATACGTAACATATTAAAATGGTTTAGGGGAAAGGTTGCATTTTATTTCATTTTTAATAGCCTTTGGAATTCGCTATGACCCATTGCATAAAAGCATCTTGCTCATATTATAAGCTGCAATGGATACAGAGAAAGGGGGTGTATTAAACAATCTTTTTGCCTCAGGTGTGAGGTGGCACTGAAGTGAAGACCCTTTGCCAAAGTGATCAGGAAGAAATCCATATTTTCTATTTAGTAGGAATGGATGATATGAAAAACCCTATGGGCTACAACCTAGAGTTCTCAAAAGAGATTTTGAGTCTTAAAGGTTTACTACCAAAACTTCTGTTAGAATTTCTTGGAAGGTAAAATAACCTTCAGTTTTCAACTTCCCTCTTGTTTTAAAAGAATAAGCTTAAATACATTTGAATTGGTTTTTTAAATGTGGAAATAAGAGTAGTATAAATGTAGGCTTTGAAACATATAAGAAACGTAAGACTGCAAGGAGATCTCCTGGGTCAGAGCAGAGGCTCCTACCCAGTCCAGTATTGTGTTCTCACCATGGCCTCTGAGAAGCCCATGGGAAGCCCAGAGAGACGAGTAAATCAAATGGTGAATCATTCTCAAACTGCACAACATCACTAACTCAAGCTATTTTGGAAATGTAATCAAACTGTAAATCTGATGTGAATGATAATGGATTTCAGTAGTAAAACACTTCTACCAGTTTTGTTTACTTTATGTGACATACAGTACTGTGTAAAAGACATTGTTTTGTTTCCTTTTAGGAAAATACAGTTAGTCCAGACAGTCTGTATCCAGATGTTGACTGGCTGATTGGAAATCATTCTGATGAGCTGACACCATGGATACCTGTAATTGCAGCCAGGTACCAAACCTCAGTGCTTTTAAAAACAAAGTGGACACTCTTATCTTAGGATGAAGAACCAGTATGGAATGATATATCTACTAATCGCCTTTCTGCCATGGTACATGGAACAAATAAAAACAGAATAAGGATAGTATAAAAATCAACTACAGCGGTACCGCGGGTTACATATGCTTCTGGTTACAGACTCCGCTAACCCAGAAATACTACCTCGGGTTAAGAACTTTGCTTCAGGATGAGAACAGAAATCGTGCAGCAGCGGCGCAGCGGCAGCAGGAGGCCCCATTAGCTAAAGTGGTGCTTCAGGTTAAGAATAGTTTCAGGTTAAGAACAGACCTCCAGAACGAATTAAGTACTTAACCCGAGGTACCACTGTATGTCAAAAACAACAGCACACACCACAAAATACAGTTTTTGGGGAGAGGATCTGAGCTGAAGTAATGACGCCAGTGAGAATGGCAACAAAAGCTTCAGTAAACGCAAAAGTTGCAGAAATGAACTTTGGGTGAAAGAAACTCCTCTGAAGCCTAGGAAAGTTGGGTTTCTTTAGAACAGGCTTCCTCAACCTTGGCCCTCCAGATGTTTTGAGACTACAATTCCCAGCATCCCCGACCACTGGTCCTGCTAGCTAGGGATCATGGGAGTTGTAGGCCAAAAACATCTGGAGGGCCAAGGTTGAGGAAGCCTGATTTAGAACATAATCCAGAGAAAAGAGCAACAGAGGTTTGAGTTTGCTTCAAGGGCCCTGAATGCCTGAAAGGTTCCTCCACATTTGCTGTACACCAAACACCACGAGAATGTGGCTATTGGTGGAGGGGGACAGCCTTGGAAGGGCAGAGAAGCAAACTGAAGCGGTTGCTAAGGGATTGATGTGGAACTGTCAGTGGGTGGGTTGTTTATGGTAATGATCTCTGTGTGTTCTATTAATGTTTAATTGTTTTAAATGACATTTTTAGCTATTTCTGTTTTATCTGTAAGCTGCCATGAGTCCCTGCCAGAGAAAAAGACAGGATATAAATTTTTAAAAAATATTATTTAAATTCTTACTTCCTCTTCACCATAAGTTCCCAGGGCAGGTTAAACCAGTGTAAAATGCAATATTTAGATGAGCTAAAACCATCTGAAAACAGAAGAATAATAGGTTGAGGTTGGTGGTGAGGGGGAGCAGAATTTTTGGTGACGGATAGTAGTGTGAACAGCCACCAGGGGGCAGCAGTCCATTTAGATAAGGTATATCAGCTCAATTCAGTTTTATTTCTGTATTGGCTGTGGGCCATGAAAGAATACAACATTCTGCTTAAAAGAATATCTATATCTTGCTGATTATTATAGAAAATGAGTCAATAAAAAAATATTTAAACGATCCCATTAGCAGTCTACAACTGCAAGGGAAATTGGAGCTTGAGATAGAATAGAATAAAAAGCTTTTGGGAATCTGGTGTCCTTTTAGCTGGAAGCCAAATTCCAGGAAGTCAAGGCAGCCTTGGCTCTTCTATAGTCCAGCTTGCCAGGAAAATGCTCTGACCCAGGCGTCCTCAACCTCGGCCCTCCAGATGTTTTTGGCCTACAACTCCCATGATCCCTAGCTAGCAGGACCAGTGGCCAGGGATGATGGGAATTGTAGTCTCAAAACATCTGGAGGGCCGAGGCTTTGAGGAAGCCTGCTCTGACCTTAGACTGCATGGCAGAGTGAAAGGGGAAATAGGAGATCAGTCTGATCTTCATAAACCCTAAACTGTGACACTTCTGTCAAATCCAGGGGGTGCAACAGCTTGTAGATTTTGCATAAGTATTTGCAGATGTAATTTCAAAAGATTTAGCACATTTCCCTTATTGCAGGTCTTCATATTCTTGCCGCTATTTTCTGTTGCCTTGCTGCTTCTTTGATTTCTATGGAAAGTACAACCGAAGGCAAAGTAAGAAGACCCAGTATAGAGAGTATCTTGATTTTGTTATGGAAGTGGGATTTGTATGTGGCTTTCGTGTGGAAGAAGATTGCCTTAGAATTCCTTCAACGAAAAGGGTAACTTCTACATGCATTGTTGTTAATCCATTTTAATTGCTTCATATAGCCTTGGGTTTTTAAAACATATCTTGCTGTAGCCTGGCTGAATCGGTGGTCTTGAAAGTAGTGATGGAAAGCTCTTGCTCCCCCCCTTTTTCTCCCCCCCCCCCCCGTATTTGCACTTCTCCCAGTCAATGTCTAATAATCCTGATGGATTAAATTTCCCTTGAAAGTAAGGCAGGAAAGTGTTTGGTTAAGGAAGGCTGCATGGTCAAAGAGCTAAAAACTGGCAGCATCTTAATAAACCTAGATTGTAGAGCTGTAGCAGTCCTATCAGTGCAATACATTTTAGCAACTGTCTCATACAGAACAGTTGAGAGCACAGAATCTCACTGGTTTCAAGATGGACTTGAGTTAAATACAGGACACTGAAATTATCCAGACTAATTAGACATTTAAAATATGTTATTAAGTTGGTGTGTTTTTAATCACTTCTTGTTTGCTGCCCTGGACTCCTTTGAGAGGTAGGGCAGGATATAAATGCGGTAATTATTAATAAGAATCAATCATGTGGACCCTGCATAACACTTGCTTGTGTGAGGAGCACCAGTCCCACCATAAACACCTGTCTGTAGACAAGTTTTCTTACTGAGATAGGTGTTGCTTCTCTATAAACGTTTTATACTGCATCCACATGAAGTTGGCATCAAAATGCCAGCCCATAGCACAGTATGTTGTTTTGAACCTTGTAAGCTCAAATCAACTATTGTAAAGCAGACATCACAGATGGGGCTTTCATGTCATCTAATACCCCACTGAACAAAGCATCACACTGTAGGCACATCAGAAATGCAACTTAAAACGATCAAGTTATTACATGGTAGACTTTGAAGGTTAGGAGGGAGGCTGTTCTCTCTTGGTGGTCCTTTTCTCCTCTGAGTCTTCCACAACCAAAGACCGGATATTAAGACAGGTTGGGCTAGTATCCCGAGGAGTGTTTAGTGGTGAAGTTCTGATTGCATAGTTCCTTATTCTGGGATTGTGGGAGTGGGGGTGAAGCAACTTCTAGCCCAGTTTGGCTGGTGACTCTGCTGAGTTTTCCCCATCCTCGAAGCTATAGTCACTTTAAACAAGAGGATCATGCTCTCTGCTTTGCAGTCATATCTGACGTGCTGAACATTGTCTGATCCAGATTTAATGTGGGAGGATAATACATTGGTTGTTGTTTGGAGGAGAGTGTTGCCTTATGGCCCTATAATACAATAAAATTGAGGCAAGCTGCTTGAGTGGGAGGGTCTCTTTGTTCAGGGCATATAATTTTGTGTTTTGTGTCTAAATAGCATTAATTCTGCTGCTCTTAGGTATGCCTCATTGGGACGTCTAGAACATATCTAGCAACGCAAGGTGCTGTACTTGATGAACAGCGAGCACAGTATATCAGTCGGCGCCAGTCAAACTTCATGGTAGCACCAGATCATCAAACAGATGGATTTCATCAAGATGACAGCCTCCCAGCTGCAAGCGATGTCACCATCTGCGCAGCAGCAGATACAAAAGTATCCCAAAAGACAGATGTGGGGAAAGTCCTAATATCTGGATTTCTGCCCAGGGGAAAAGAACAAGTGAGAAACTGTACTACTCTCCCCCAGGATTTGGTAGACAAAGTGGTTTTGAAGGTAGCAAAATTACTGTTAAAGGAAACCAAAGGGAGTACGCTTGAAATGTCCAACGCGTGGAATCGAGGAGGTGAGATTTTCGCTTCATATATTATTTTAAAATGGAAGTTTCCTATAAATTGAAATTGTCTATTATATTTGAATTCACAAACCTCATCTGAAGGATGTTAAAAAGCATTCTGGGTAATCACGCTGAATTCATCATCAGACAGAACTGTAAATTGCAGGCACCCATTGTTTTCCAGCAACTCTTAAATATTATGGAGTTTCTGGAATGGAAAAAGTTGACATCCAGCAAGTCATAAAATATATTGTGTTATAATGGCACAGTAAAGGCTTGACACAGACAGCATGCCTGGAAAGAAATTATTCTTTAGATACAGCCCTTTATTAGCAAGAGATTTCTAGGCTTCTCTTGGGCCATAAGCCCTCCTTGGGTGCACCCAAATAATGGTAGAATTGCTAATGTTTTGGGGAGAGGGTATTTCTTGGAGATAGGGGAGAAACCAAGAGTGGATTTTTGTAGATGATAAATGTGTATAATTCTAGTAGAGGAGATGGGGTCATGCTTCATTTCCAGAAGGAGGGGCTGGGGGCCGTGCCTGAGTAATATGTCTGGTGGTGAGCCTGGATTCTTGATTTTAAATGTATGTGGGTGGATAAGTTGTAATTCTTAGCAGTGTGTGAAATGCATTATTCACATGCTCATAAGCAGTTCTTCCTCTTATATTCTAGGACTTAGCCCAAGTATCGTAAACAGATTTTAGGATTCATCCCTGGGAAGCTCAGCAATAAATAGTACTCCGTCCAAGGCTTTGTTTTGTCTGTTTTCAACTTCTTGTTTTTGTACTGAATAAATGTGAGCATACAGCAGAGAGAAAGTTTTTGGAGATCTTGCCTCAGTTGGTTGAGATGTAACCAAAAAATAATGGTTTGGTGCTGTGTGGACAAGCCTTGTGCTCCGACTTCCCCTCTTACACCTGACCTAATTTTCTGTTAGTCCAGTTCAGATTCAATGGTCTGTTCACACTATAGATTACCCACTTAGGATGCAACTTTAACTATAGTTACCTAGTGGTTCCAAGATAAGGAAGCCTTTAGTCCTGGCATGTACCACTCCTTGGTTGGCAGGCTGGATCCTCTAGCAAGAACATCTCCATGGAGGGGTGTCCATCAGCTTCAGGAGCAGCCCTCCTTGGTTAGGAGCAGCAGGGCTCTAGCATCATTCATATCACATTGTTTGAATTATACTGAGCTTTTGCTTTTCTGAGAGAAAGACACATTTATAGGGACTCAGACGATCATTTTATTGCACCGCAGCCCTGAAGTTCTTGGCTCCCCACACTCAGTTTTGCCCTTTCTCCCTCAGAGCTGGAAAGCAACTGGTGCTGAACTAAAGTGTTACTATTCTTTTCTCTCTGCTTCCAGCAGAAGAGAGGTAAAAGGACTGCTTGGTTGCAGAAACCACAGTCTGTCACTTGGCCAGATCCCCTGCTGTTCTTCACACAAGCGGCCATCAGTTTGTCTTGGAGGCACCATTGCTCTCCTCAACAACTAGAGAACACAGATGCCAAGAAAGCAGTGAGAAGTGTTACGAGTGATATCCCCAAGAAGTTTGATGTGTATTCTCCTGCTTTCTTTGCTTTATAAACACCAACATGGTTACCAGCAGTGAGATCACCACTTTCCCTGCAGTGAAGGTACCTTGGGAAAGGATGGTAGATCTCAGTTTCTCCTCTCTTTAGCAACATCCCTTCAGTCCTCAGCTTCAAAAGGGGAAGTGTAGCAAGAGCCAGACAGCAGCCCTGAGGGCTGGCGGATCAAGTATCAACAAAAAAGGAGGAAGATGGCACCTCTGGGTCTCCCTTCTTCTCCTGAGTAAGCAGCTCCCCCTTCGCATTCTGAACACTGGGTTGTAATTCAGTATGAGTAAACAACAGAGTTGAGGGTGCATTCTTTTTTAAAATCAATAGAGAAATTAATCCAATAGGCAACATAAAAAGGCTTTTGGGTAGAACAGACAGAAACTTAATGAGAAACTCATGTCTCCTATCTGTCATGATATCTGTAATCACAGGATGCTCAGCTGGTAACTTTGACCAGAGCATCCTCTTAACAATGTTACACAATAACTCCTGAAAAGGCAGTAACCTCACAAGTACACGATGTACTTGGGAGGTTACGGTCCTCTATCAGGATACATAGTGGAACAATGTTAAGAGGATGTCTAACTGGCCATGGCATCCTTTATTACGTTCATGACAGATAGGAGATAGGAGACATAAGTGGCAAATGAGAATCTATCATGTTCCACTTGAAAGCCTTTTATGGTAACATTTGTTTTCAACTGAAATAAATGGGGCCTATTGGAGAACTGTAGAGTTGAAAGGGACGTCGAGGGCCATCTAGTCCACTCCCTGCCATGCAGGAATCTCAGCTAAAGTATCCATGACAGATGACCATCCAACCTCTGCTTAAAAACCTCCAAGGAAGGAGAGTCCACAATTTCCCAAGGGAGGCCAATTTCCCGAGCTGAGCAGCTCTTACTGTCAGAAAGTTCTTCTGCATGTTATTCAGAACCATTTTTCTTGTAACTTGAATCCATTGGTTGGGTCCTAGGCTTCAAAGCAGGAGAAAATAAGCTTGTTCCATCTTCCACGTGACAGCCCTTGAGATATTTGAAGTAGGCTGTCATAACTCCTCTCAGTCTCCTTTTTTCCAGGCTAAACATACCCAACTCCCTCAACCATTCTTCATCAGTCTTGCTTTCCAGACCCTTGGTCCTCTTGGTTCCTCTTGGTTCCCCTCCTATGCACAGGTTCCAGCTTGCCAATATTCTTCTTAAATTGTGGCGCCCAGAACTGGACACAGTACTTCAGTTGTGGTCTGACCAAGGCAGAAGAAAGTAGTACCATTGCTTCCCTTGATCGGGACTCTATTCTTCTATTGATGTAGTCTAGAATAACATTAGCCAGTGGTTTTATTTCCAATATTTTCCTCTCTCTCCCTGGGCCATGATCTTCAACAGGAAGGATGAAAAACCACCTGTGCCCCAAGGCCCTTCAGCTTCCTGCCCAGAGTTTCATAGTCCCTTGCCATGTGTCAAAGGCTCTGTCTGGCACTTGTCTGGCACTTGTACCCACGTGAATCAGAAGGAAGGCGTTGCAGTCAGAAGGCTTTATAAAACTTGGCAACTTTTCTGTCACATTGTGAATCTTTGCACCTGGAAGACAGCACACCTCCCGGGACATCCTGTTGACTCCTCACACTGCTGCCTCTGTCCCTCTCAGTAGTGAGTCACTTATCAAAACCCCACGTCTCTTCCTCCTCTGGGGTGTGGCAAGAATTGTTCTGTGCACTGTACCTTCCACAGCCACCTGTTTTCGGTGGTCTGCAACTGCTGTTCTTGCTCCTCTGGCCCAGAATCAGTGACCGAGGTAAGGGCATGGAATCAATTTTGCAGCTCCAGTGACACAGCATGGCTCCTGACAGTTCTGCTTCTGTGTGTCAGGCTCCTCCAGAGGGTCGACTCCCCCATTGAGTGATCTTCTTCCTCCCCTAGGGGTGCCCCGCCTACGTCTCTGTTCCACTCTGGTCTAGTGAGAAATTCCTCATGTGGATAGTTGGGCCTCAAGTTGCTGTACCTTCTCTTCCAGCAAGGCAACCAACTTGCACTTGCTGCAGGTGTACCTTTGCACATTCCTAGGCAGGAAGACAAACATGGCACAGGTGTTGCCCATCACTTCAGCAGCTCCTTCGCCATCCATGTCTCTTGGTCCTACATACACCATGAGACAGCACTCCAGGCTCTGCTTCCAGAGACTGCAATAAGCTAAACAGAATAGCTGCTGGCTGCTAATGCCTCTGTCAGCTCACCTGCATTCAATTGATGGTTGTAGGTTTCCTATAATACCAAACTGGTCACATGGTAAGTTTAATGGTAGATTAATAGCAAACCAATTTGTTAGTTTTACCTCTTTGTTCTTGACGTGTTTCTCATAATACTTGCATACATAATACCCTGTAGAACAAATTTCAAGGAAGTCCTCCATTGCCTTGTAATCCAAAGGTCACAAGGCAGAGCAAGATTTCCTCAGCACTATTACCATCTGGCAGCACCCATCCAGAAATGACCAGAACCACTGTAAGCCCTCTAAGCCCAACGATGATAGGCAATCCAGAAGGATACCATGACTGATGGTCTTGAAAGTCTCCAAAGGGTCTAGAAGAACTAACTCTTCCTCTCTTTGCCCTCTCCTTGCATCCATTCTATGACATAAGTCATCCACCGCAGCAGTCAAGGCCATTTCTCTTTCAGACGTAGGCCTCAAGCTGATCAAAATAATCAGCAGCATGAAAAGTTTATGGTGTTACAAAGTCAAAACCCACACCAATACCTTGCTGAAGAATGACCAATGGCACAAGATCTGAATTTAGCCTTTTTTAAGGAGTGGCTTCACAACTACCATCTTAAAGCCCCAAAACCAAAGTCCAGACTTCCACTCTTGATTTTGCTGATTCAACCAGACAAGGTGGGCAGGGAGCCAGCAAACAGGTGGCAGGGCTTCAAGAAAACTGCTAGATATAATGTTGGTCCTGTCTACCTGTGACTCTTATCATAACCATAGTGTCAAGGTCATCATGGGTGTGAGCGAATTTATCTGGGAAATGCTTAGCAAAATGGTCACAGCAATTCTTTGAAAGCTTCAGGTGGTACTCAGAAGATTCTTTACCACTTTCAAAAGTTGTGCTGGGTAACACTTCCAGGTGACAAAATAGTAAAACCTCTTAACCGCCATCACTGTATTGCCATTATATAACTGGGCAACATGTTCTCGCTGTGCACATCAACTTTACCAATGCAACACACATTCCATCCTGAAGTGAAACATTTTCATTGAAACCTTAGACAGGATACATTCACAGGGATAGATTTGATGCTTCACCACCAGCTATATCTCTTTTCTCCATATACCACTTTCTGTAGTCAGCATGCAAGATGAGGCCACAGACAGTGTTATTATACTGCACAGGGAGTTTTGAATACCCTTTTTTTGGTCAAAGCTCAGCATCCTGTCATCACTTGCACAATAAGCATAGTGGTCCACAGACAGTTGTATAGAAAGAAGTGGATTGTTTAATGTTGATATACATCGTAGCAGCTTAGGCACGTGAATTTGGAAGTTCTGCAACCATCAAAATTATAATAAGTACGTATGAAAATTACAGAAAGTAGATTCCTTCAAATGGCAGTAGTAGCTACATTGCTCTGTATTGGTCAGAGCTCTTGTCTTATACAGGATGATAACTTAGTTAATGGATGCACAACCTCCAATTCTGAGTGCACAAACCTTGTGTCTGAGGAACAACTGACCTCTTAAAAGAGCAACTTACTGCTTAAAAGTAGTAGCTAAATATGCTGGTGCACACATGGCCAGTGAGAGCATCTTCCTTTAGTGCCTCTTACAGCAAAATGAAGCATGCCGACTGGAGGCACAGGGTGTAATTTGTTCTATTTGCCTACATAGACAAGGGTATTTTCCATAGCACTCTTAAGCGTAGTGGCCTGCTGTTCTCAGAAGCTCAGAACTGAAAATATTGCTGAGGGTTAGCAGTTACTTTACATAAATATATTGTTTTCTGCAGAGAGTCTCCCCCTGAGTGAAATTGCAGAACATTTGGACAAGGACACTTTAAAAAGGCTGAAGAATGAGTATGGAGGCCTCCAGACCTTACTTAGAAACAATCATCAAGTGTTTGAAGGTAAGGACAAGGTTTGTTCGGTGACTGGTAGTCTCTTGTATGTTGGTTTAAGTATGTGGAAGATGAACGATCTTAGTCTAAGAACTGCTTTGCCTCTGTCACAAGCATGTTGGGTATTGGATTCAAATGAACAGAGGCGTAGCTGGGGGGGGCGGGGGGCACTTACTGTCCCTGAGCCATGCGTCTCTTCTGGGAGTGACGCGGTGGCTCGGGTGCCTGTAGGCTCCATGCTACTCAAAAAAGCAGTGCAGGCCTGCAGGGCACCAGAGTGGAACGGGGCTCGGGCACCGGGATTCTGGCATGTGGGTGCCTCGTCCCAGGTGCCCAAGTGGCTAGCTATGCCGCTGAACAGGAGTGTAGGCTTCCTAGGAGTCCTGAAGCTGTAAACTTGGTCTTGGTTCCACATCATATCTGCTCCTTTCTAGCTATGGCTTAATAATAATTTTATTATTTATACCCTGCCCATCTGGCTGGGTTTCCCCAGCCACTCTGGGCGGCTCTCAACAGAATATTAAAAACATGATAAAACATCAAACATTAAAAACGTCCCTAAACAGGGCTGCCTTCAGATGTCTTCTAAAAGTCAGGTGTTTATTTCCTTGACATCTGATGTGAGGGCGTTCCACAGGGCGGGTGCCACCACCGAGAAGGCACTCTGCCAAGTTCCTGAAACTTCACTTCTCGCAGTGAGGGTAGCGCCAGAAGGCCCTCGGTGCTGGACCTCAGTGTCCGGGTAGAACGATGGGGGTGGAGACGCTCCTTCAGGTATACTGGACTGAGTCCGTTTAGGGCTTTAAAGGTCAGCACCAACACTTTCTGGTTGATAATTATACCTTCACAAGCTTATGGGAGAGGATTGTGGATCATGGCAGGAATGAAGTAAATTTACCTTGGAAACTTAGCTTAACAGATCCAGGCAGGCTGCAGTAATTTAGTCAAGATACAACTTGAGAAGATAAGTCTTTATGGTACAGGATAGGTGTTCTTTGTTTAGATAATATGCTTTTTCAGTGCTGATGCCTAGCAGAAAATATTTTTCTAATTTGATGCATCAGTATGTAGGTAATATCAAATTTGCCTTTTTTAATTGTAATACTGTACTTCATTAAGTATTTGTTTACTTCCCCTCCAAGGCATCTCACAAATTAGCTAGAAAATATATAGTAAAAATATTTTAGGATGCATTGTATTCTCTTTCTCTCTCTCTTTTATTTTAAAAAACCAATGTTTAGAAAAGTAAAGTATTTTTAGTAGCAATTAACATTTCTTGATAATGCAGGAGAGTATTCTATTTACAATAATTCCTCGATAGATTAGAGGGGCCTGTCTGTCACTCATCCTGAGAGATAGCAACTCCCAGTTTAGTTCTGTTTTCTGATTGGAAGGGCAGAGTGTTCCAGGATTTCCCCCTGCCTCCTTCCTCTTAATGTGGAATAACAGAATTACCAGCTCACTGGAATATTCCCTTTACAGTGGTACCTCGGGTTACATATGCTTCAGGTTACAGACTCTGCTAACCCAGAAATAGTGCTTCAGGTTAAGAACTTTGCTTCAGGATGAGAACAGAAAACATGCTCCGGCGGCGCGGCAGCAGCAGGAGGCCCCATTAGCTAAAGTGGTGTTTCAGGTTAAGAACAGTTTCAGGATAAAAATGGACCTCCGGAACGAATTACCGTATTTTTCGCCCTATAGGACGCACTGGCCCATAGGAAATAAAGGGGGGGGGAATAAAGAAAAAAATCTCCCCCCCCCAGCCGCGGGAACTCCCGCAGGGCTCCCTAGGCTGCGGATATCTGCCCGAAGCGTGGGGTGCTCTGCTTCAGTGCACCCTGCACTCTGGGCAAGCAGGCTGCGGATAGCTTCCCGAAGCATGGGGCGCTCTGATTCAGTGTGCCCCGCGCTCTGGGCAAGCAGGCTTCTATCCGCAGCCTAGGGAGCCCTGTGGGAACTCCAGCGGGCTCCCCAGGCTTACGAATAGCTTCCCGAAGCACGGGGTGCTCTGCTTCAGTGCGCCCCGCGCTCCGGGCAAGCAGGCTGCGGATAGCTTCCCGAAGCGCGGGGCGCTCTGCTTCAGTGTGCCCCGCGCTCCGGGCAAGCAGGCTGCTATCCGCAGCCTAGGGAGCCCTGCGGGAACTCCAGCGGGCTCCCCAGGCTTACGGATAGCTTCCTGAAGCCTGGAGGAGAGAGGGGTCGGTGCGCGCCGACCCGTTTCGCTCTCCAAGCTTCAGCGAAAGCCTGTATTCGCCCCATAGGACGCACACAGATTTCCCCTTCATTTTTGGAGGGGAAAAAGTGCGCCCTATAGGGCGAAAAATAAAAGTACTTAACCCGAGGTACCACTGTATATAGCTTATACTTTCTTATGTGTGGGCTGAAACTGGGTAATGGTGAATTAAGAGCACTGCAAGCACTACAGGGACACAAGGGTAGTCTCTCCAGGATTTCAAACAGGCATATTTTCCAGCCCTGCCTGGAGATAAAAGGGATTGAACTTGTGGCCTTTTGGCATGCAAAACATTCTGTACCACCGAGCAGTTTATGTTAAGTATGATCATGCACAAGGGAAGTTTCCCCCAGCTCCTTTAAAAAAACAAAACAAAAGCTGAGCATTTGAATTCCGCTTGAGATGTATTACAGAAATTGAGTTCATGTTGAAGGCACAAATTCTTTGAATTTTTTTTTTTTAAATCTTTCCCCTGATCTTTTATTAGCAGATTGTTGGTACCTGTAACCCATTTGAGTTCTTCTATATTACCATTCATATGCTTGCAGATGTAATGTAGTTTTTTCCATCCAAATATATATTTATATTTTACATGCCGGCCTCATTCACGTGTATTGCCAAGCCAAATGATGCCCGTTTTGCTTTTCCCCCAGCTAAGCTAAGGGTTGTGGCACCTCAGAGACTAGCAAATCTCACATGCATATTTGTCGTGTTTAAATTTACTCACCCAAATTTCTTGTTCTTATTCTGGCACTAATTCTTGTAACCCTTTGTTAATATTTGGGTCTGTGTGTTTCTCCTTTCCCTCCCCACCCTTTAATTTCAGTTCTAAATGGGAAAGTTCATATTCGTGACTGGCGAGAATGGAAACCACCAAGGAAGAACAAGCCTGGCAAGCAGCTTAAGCAAAGACTTCCTTCTAAAGCAATCAAAACGCGCCTGTGTTGGTTTCACATCCATCATCCTCAGGGCTGTCCGTTGTCTTCTGAACTCTGTTGTTATGCTCACGGTAGTGAGGAGTTGAAGCCATCTCTGAAAACAGTGACAAACGATAAAGGATTTGGGAGTTAAACTTATGCTACTTGGATGGATTTCTGATGGAATTTCATGTACATCGATTGTACAGTGGTGACATTTATGTTTTGTTCCACTTTATGCCTGCTCTTCTCTGAGAATCCCCTCTGTGGTAAGAGAATAAAGGTTTTTAAATCTCTTCTTGGCGGGATCCATAGTTGGATGGTCGATGTGCTTTCCTAACAATACGAAAGTCCATTGGTCTGTTGAATTTCAACCTTGATAGTCTTCTGAATTCTCTGAATAACTCAGAGGTTATAGTTTATAGTGTTCATTTTGTTTCAATCATATCTCAGAACAACCTTGAGCCAAATCTGCCTCTGAAATTGCATATCTGATGGGCAAATGTCACTGTATGACTTTGCACTGCCAGTTGTCTTTGCGCTGTCTCAAACACATCCAGGCACATATTCTTTTTACATGTTTGGTGTAATGCAAAGAGCACAGAATTAATCATTTTTGTTTCTGTGAAAGAGGAAGGGGAGAAGAGTTTTTATATATAAGCTCTGAAGATGTGTCAGTGCTAGGGAGGCACAGATCTGAGCTTTCCTGAGCTATGTCCTGTAATTTCCTTTTGGACATATGCACCCCTTTGTTATCCTGCCCTGATTTCCATTTAAACAAGGTGAGCTAACTTGTTTTGGGCAGAGGACCACATTCACCCAAGAAACACCTACCTGCTGTGGGTTTGCACATTAAAGTAGCTGGGGGTGGGAAACCTTTTTAATAAACTGACAAAATGGGGGAGGGGACTTGGGGTCAGCACTATACTTTGACAATTCTAAACCTCACACTAATAGGGTTTCAGCACTTTCGAGACCTGAATTTTAGTCTATTTCCTTCACAAATAAATAAAACTTTTACTGTTTGTGTCTGTTGTATTACGATGCTTGTGGGGAGCCATGTTACAGAACCTTGAAGTCCCTAACATTAAAGGTAAAAGTAGGGTGTGTTTCTACAACAAACAAATGCTGATAAACTGAAGCTTCATTCAGGTAACTCTACTTTGTCTTGGGGGGGATAGACTCTAGCCCAGACATAGGCAAACTCGGCCCTCCAGATTTTTTGGGACACAACTCCCATCATCCCTAGCTAACAGGACCAGTGGTCAGGGATGATGGGAGTTGTAGTTCCAAAACATCTGGAGGGCTGAGTTTGCCTATGCCTGCTCTAGCCTGTTCTGTTTGGCGTTACTCTTCCTGAAAAGATCACATTCAGAACTTGACCAGTTTCCCTTTTGGCAGTTCTAACTTCCCAGGAAGGGGCATGAGCAAAGAATGCTGAGTGGGGCAATATTTAACTTCCTGTGACTCATGGAGATCATCTGGTCCCAGAAAAGCAGCTCCCCCACAGCTCTGTGACTGACTGACTTCTTGTGTGGAGAAAGGAAAGAGGCTGGTTGGAGGCTAGAGCTTTTAAGAGAGAAAAAGGGGCAAGCCTGTCTGTGCCATTTCCCGTAAAGAGCTCCTGAGGCTTAATGGTCTGTCACCTGGACCACCTATCCACGCAGAACAGTTGGATGCTGCAGAAACTGAACGTGTCAAAACTTAGTAAAAAGAACCTCAGAATGGGCATGAGAGAAATGTGCACCAATGTACCCCACTCCCCAATAAAGCCATGCCATTTGAGGATATTCCAGGAGAGGGAAAAGCCACCTTTGTTCCCTTCTACATTCCAGGACCCCTTCCGCCCCCCACCCTGCTAAGTAGCAATGAAGCCCTCTAGTTTGGGGCTGGTATCCTTACACAAGGTCGCCGGAACAGAGCTTCTGTTCCAGGTTGGCTTGGCTGGATCCCCGAACAGGTGCGCTCTTGCCGCCTTGCGTTCTCCCTTTCCACGACTTGAGCGCTGAGCGAAGAGTTGGGGGAGGCTGGCCGAAAGATGCCTTGATCCTGGGTCTTGACTCACGTGCTAGGCGGGGGTGCGGCAAGGGCTGGCTTTGAAGCATCGGTTCACTGGCAGCTGCTGCAGCAAACGTGCTGCTGGGGTCTTGCTCGCTCAGGGAGGAGGAGGAGGAGGAGGAGGGGGCCGTCCCTGGAGCGGCCAGATCTGGCAGGATGCGCGCGCCGGGCGGAGAAAGGAGCCCCCCACCCCCCGCTTCCTCCCTATTCCCCTTCCCAGCCCGAGGCTCCTATAAATCTGTTTTTCCACCCAGGAATACCAGCCGCTGTAACCCGATCCCCGCGCCGTATATCCCATAATACGCGGGCGCGCACTTGCAGCGCGCTCGGTCCCTTCGCGGCTGGCCAGAGAGCAGCGCGCGCGTGTGGCTCCATCGACGTGGAGGAGCCGCTGGCCGGTGCTGCCACATCACGGCGTCGGCCACGCGCGAAGGGCCCCGGCATGTGGCTCCCTCTGCTCGTGGGCGCCCTCGTGGGCGCCCTGCACCCCGCCGCCCCCTCCTGCCAGCCCGGCCAGGGGGCTCAAGGTAAGGCGATCAGCCCCAAAGCGGCGCTTCGGGAGAGGGGGAGCTGGGCGGGGGGGGGGCGCTTTTGCCATTGAAGCGCCGGCTCAAGGGCTTCCTCCTGCAGAGCATAGCAGGATCGCCCCGTCCCTGCAGCGGCTGACGCCTCGGAGGATGCGGAGAGACGTGGGATTTCCTCTTTCCAGGAACAGAGTCTTGGCCAGACTCACTAATCCAAGGGGACGGTCCCTCGCCTGTAATTGTGTGCGCGCGCTTTTGGTCTCCTGGGCATTTAACTTTGAGCGCGGCCCCCTTCAAGTCTGAAAGAGATAAGGAGGAAAGGGCTCCTTAAAACCAGTAAGTTTCATTCCCCGGTGCCTCCGTCTGCTGCGCGCTCCATCGGGCCCTGGGGAGCCATAAGGGGACTTCAGCTCCCGGTTGGAGGAAGCAGAAAGAGGGGGCTAAAGGGGGGGCGCGCGGCTCTGCTCATCTTCTCTTCTCCTACTCGCTGCCTTCAAGAACTAGGTTTTAAGAACCAGGTGGGCGGACTCTGTAAGAGCATTCTTTTTCCTCTTGTATGATACTCATCTCCATTCTTTCTGTTTATTATTATAAATATTCGGAAGCTCAAAAAGTTTTGGGGGAGGGAACTGATTTCCTTCATTGTACCCAGTTCCACAACCTGCCCCTAGAACGCAGCCAGGGAACTGATCCCAGCCTTGACATTTAATGCTGGTAGGCTTGGGCCAGCAACGCAGGCAGCAGGGTCCCTCATGGCATATTTTCGTGGCATCCCATGGGTCTTTCAGAGCCAAGGAACCTGCTCCAACCCTGAACTGGCCTCCTTGGGCAATCTGAGCCAATGGGGAGAGTTGGCTTCCTAGCAAGAGTCAGGAGAGGAGCTTGGTGCAAGGATGGGCATCTTATCAAGCATCCAGCTCTGTAAACCAGCACCTTGACTTGGAGCCAAAAATCGACTGGGAGCTGGTGAAGATGGCAAAACAATATGTTGTGCTCAGACAGCTCAGATTCAGTTAACAGTCTTTTAGCCATCATATAAACTAAGTGGAGTTTCTTCACTGTTTTCAAAGGCAACTCTATGCCTACCGTATCCGGGTAGGGCTGTAGTTGTCATGGCAGTCTAACCTGGAAAAAGGTGCTCCTGCTCACAGTGGCCACTTGTCTCTCTAGGGCCGGGCTGGTCCATCCATAAGGCAAGGTGAGGTGACTGCCTCAGGCGCCAGGACCCACAGGGGCAAAAGATCAGACGTCCAAGGAATGCATCGCCCACTGCTGCCGTCACAGTGGTAGCAATGGCTACAGCACATTCATTGGAGGTCAGATCTACCTCCCTCCTCGGCAGCCCCCCCCCTTCCAATGCTGCTTCTACAGCGGCCTTTTGGGGAAATAGGAGGTGCTGCTAGTCTCCTACTCCCAGGGAGAAAATGATGGGGGGCTGCCTGCTGGGTTCTCCTGGGCTCTGTGTCCATCCAGCAGGATTCAGAGCAGGCCTCTTCTCTGCCCACCCCTACCCCCCCATGGCCTTTGATTCCCACAACTGTTGGATGAGTTTGATTTGATCCCCCATCCTGTTCCCGATGTAGATCTTTACTCCTCCCCCATGTTCCTGATGTAAATCTTCACTCACCCCTTCTTCCCTTGTGGTTCACCTCAGGCGCCACAATGTCTCAGGCCAGCCTTGTTTCTGCAAGGTCAGCCTGACATGAAACAGGGCCTATCCTGATGACATTGGGAAATGGGCAGGTTCCTAAGGTAGGAGATGGTCCTTCCAGTATCCTAGTCCTAAGTCACCAGCACTTTGAAGTGGACTTACAAACTGACTAGCAGGTCATGAAGATCTAGCAAAGAAGTCACATGTTCCTAGTATCTGGAATCAGTCAAAAGTCTGACTGCAGCATTTTGCAATCAGTTGAAGTTTCTGGACACTCTTCAAAGGTAGCTCCAAATGAAGAGCATTATAGTACTCTTTGATATGACTCAGTTATGTGTGACCATGGTCAAATCTGCCTTCTTTACAAATTGCTGAAGCTGGTGTACCAGTCTCAGCTGGGCAAAGGCAGTCCTTGCCACAGCAGCTCCCTGAGCATTCAGGAGTAAACCTGGGTCCAGGAACACTACCTAGCTGCACACCTGATTCTTCAAGAGGAGTGCAACTCCACAGCAGTGGAGCAAGCCAAAGCAAATTGCATCTGCACTGACAGATCTAGAGGTCCTACTAAGCAAGGGCATTTGTCTAGATGGATTTTCTCTCTCTCATTCATCCAGCCAGCCAGCCAATGACCTAGAGTGGCCACTTATGCACTGCCGCAAGGAGGATAAAGGTAAAGGTAAAGGACCCCGACAGTTAAGTCCAGTCGCAAATGACTCTGGGGTTGCGGCACTCATCTCGCTTTACTGGCTGAGGGAAGTGACGTTTGTCCACAGACAGTTTTTCTGGGTCAGGTGGCCAGCATGACTAAGCTGCTTCTGGCGAACCAGAGCAGCGCACAGAAACGCCGTTTACCTTCCCGCTGGAGCGCTACCTGTTTATCTACTTGCACTTCGACATGCTTTCGAACTGCTGGGTTGGCAGGAGCTGGGACTGAGCGATGGGAGCTAACCCCGTCACGGTGATTCGAACTGCCGACCTTCTGGTCGGCAAGCCCTAGGCTCTGTGGTTTAGACCACAGCGCCACCCACGTCCCACAAAGAGGATAAACATCACCAAAAAGAGGAAACGAATTTGCATAAAACATACATGCTAATGTATATATGGGTGCAAATTTCAAAATTAAAAACTGGAATTTAAATTTTGGTGGTACCTCCATCCCTTAAGACAAAAGAGCTACACACATATCCATAGCACCCCCAGTTTATTCGTAGCTGTCTCCATATATCTCTGTAAACTGAGTTGCTATTTTAAGGCCCAGGAGCAACCTACCCAGAGTTGGCCCACCCACCCATGAGGCAACGTGAGGTGGGCTCTTCAGACAGCAGATGTGGGTCTGAGGAGTGTGGGCTTGCCTACTGCTGCCTCCTCTTCTGCTGTGAGTGCACCCCCACTGCTGTAGGCACCCCACCCCTGCTGGCTCCTCTGGCACAGGTACGACCTGCCACTGCTGCTGGTGGTGGTGGCATAGCACAGCTGTGAAGGAGACAGTGGTGGTGCTATGGCATGCTTGCAGAGGAGGAAGAGGAGGAGACAGGGCATCCCAAGCAAAATGTCAAAGGGCAGGATGGCCCTGACCAGCCCTGCTTCCCCCCATTACATGTGGGTCATCTGGCTACCTGGGGCTGCTACTCCCAGAGAGAAGAGGAGGGTGGCAGCCATGGCCATAGCTCTCCACAACTAACTTGTGGTAGCCAAGGCCCCAGCTGTAGCTTGCAGGAGCAGTTAGAAGTGCCCCATCTCTACTTCTAAGCGCTGGGTCAGCTCAGTGGCAGACACAGGCTCCAGTCATGTTGCTAGGCATGGTGAGGCCCCATCAGGGGAAAAGGAGAGGAAGTTGGAAAACCTGCCTCCTTTTCTTTGTTTATTTTTCCTTTCTATCCAGCTGTAGCACTTACCATTGTGCATTATGTCCATTCATCATTTCTATTTTATTTTATTTTTTAATATTTTTATTGGATTTTTGTATAAGCAAGCTTATAAAAAACAAAACAAAAGAGAACTCTGGATCACAAACACAGGATATTGGATTCAGGTCAATAGTGCATATGTAAAGGGTACATGAAAGTTACAAATAATAATAGTAATAATAATAATAATAATAATAATAATAATAATGTCAGTGCTTTTTTAAGGACCACATGCGCCATATGTCCAGGGAAGCAGCAGGTAACATTTGATGCAACTGATAGGTATTTGCATAAAAGATGAATTCCTCCCATGCAGAATGAAAAGAGACCAGTTTTGCAGTGCCATTAATAGCCCTAAATGCCAAGTTATCTTTTCTAGCAAAGCAAAGTTCCAAACATTATTCAGTCATGAGGAAATACAGAGGCCAGATAACGTTTTCTATTTTTGGACGATAGAAAGGCTTGCAGAATTTAAAGTTTGTTGGATTTCATGTCATTATTACTACCTTCAAACAAAGGCAAAAGTGAATAAATTCAATTTCTTTGAAAACTGCCAACCTAAATGATTGAACCAGGGGGCACTCCCACCAAAGGTGGAGGTATGTACCCCATATCCTGCAATCTCTTTAGCAATCTGGGTCACGCGGGTGGTGCTGTGGTCTAAACCACTGAGCCTGGGGCTTGCCGATCAGAAGGTCAGTGGTTTGAATCCCCGTGAAGGGGTGAGCTCCCGTTGCTCAGTCCCTGCTCCTGCCCACCTAGCAGTTCGAAAGCACGTCAAAGTGCAAGTAGATAAATAGGTACCGCTCCGGCGGGAAGGTAAATGGTGTTTCCGTGCGCTGCTCTGGTTTCGCCAGAACCGGCTTAGTCATGCTGGCCACATGACTTGGAAGCTGTACGCCAGCTCCCTCGGCCAATAAAGCGCCGCAACCCCAGAGTCATCCGCGACTGGACCTAACAGTCAGGGGTCCCTTTACCTTTTACAAGTCATATTGGAAAGTTAGATTGGTTAAGTTTAACCTATGGTTAAGTTTTAGAGAAAGTTTCCTTCCATGTGCAGAGATAAATTCTGTTGGTCTACTTGTCACCCATCCATCATTCCTTACAGGGTAAATTCCAGAAATACAAAGCTGAAGAAACTATGTAACTATGCTGCATTGGAATGTACATCCCGTTTTTTTTAATGTGTGCAGTGGCCACAATATCTGCCTTGTATCTGCTGTACTTTGAAACAGCTCCACCCGTTTTGAATCATTTTGATTCAGTATTTGGGTCCAACTCTGATATGTTAAATTTGAAGCTGCTTCACGCCCACTGACTATAATGGGAGATATAAAACTTGCTATTAATTCCCCCATTTCACATAAGTGGATGAAATTTGCAGTCAAAGGAGTGGTTTAAACCTGCTTGTTCAGGCAGATCCATTCAGGGGTTTTTTTGCTTAGGAAATCTTTAGGGCTGTATCCAAGTGAACAGTTATGCTTGCGCAATAACGTTTAGCTGTGCAATGTAACTTCCCCACTCCCTGCACTCCCCCCACAAAAAAAATCTGCTCCAGAAGGTTGGGGGAACCCCTGGACAAAATTTGGCACAAGAAGAGGGAAAATACATTGTGCAGCTAAATGTTGTTAGCATAGCTAACTAGCATAGCTGCTTAGTTGGGTACTGCCCAAAGTCTCAACTTTTTTCTGAATTAGATGCAAACCAAAGACAATTTAAAACTGAAGACAAGGCCCCCTCTTCTGTTTTTTTTAAAATGATATTTATTGAAAATTTTTTAGAATTACAAAAAAGAACACAGCAGAAAAAGAAAAAAGAGAAAACAAAGAAAAAACAAACCACATCAAACAATGTAGATTAAAAAAAACCAAAAATACACCACAAACAGATAAAAACAAATCCATCATTCTCGAATCCTCAACTTTCATTACCTTCTTTCTTTGACCTCCTCCTCCTCCCTTTTTTTGTATCCTAGTTATTAATTATCGCAGCAAATCCTTTCCATATTTCATAATATTCTGTCATTACATTACCTTAATCTATTTTCATCTTATCTTATAGAAAACCTTAAAACTTAAAACTTAACTCTTATTTTTACCAACTTCTCATAACCATAATATTCTTACCTAATTCTTTAGACATTTTTGCTAGAGCCAAGTAATTTCGTTCCAACATTTTTCTAACATTCATCAATTTTATAAAACAATCCTAGTAATAAAAAGAAAGAAATAAAAACAATCCAATCTTCATCCAGCGTCCCTTCCTCCTGTCAGTCCTCTTTATCCCATTGATCTAGCGCATTAACCTGGTAACCTTATATCCGAGGCCCTTAAGTCTCTTCCATGTCCCTTCCGCAGCTCTTCTTCATATTCTCCTTTCACTCGTGGGAACTCCAGCTTGGTAATGTTTTTGACCCTTTTCAACAAATCAGCCCCTTTTCCAAAGTCCAGACTAAACTCCATGTGGTATTTAAAAACATGTTTCAGAATCCCTCCAAGATTAAGAGCCCCCACAGCCCCAAACATCTCACGGCCCATTGCCAGACTCGGAAAGTCCAAACATCCCTGCATAGGGGGATCTATCCAACCCCCCCATTTCCAAACCAGTCCAAACCTTATCTTTCCGAATCTGGCTTTTTCCAAGTTCATTTGTCAAATCCAAAAGCTCATGTTCCTGCAGGGCCACAGCTCCCTCCATCTCTGGCGCCCAAGATTCAGCAACATCCTCTTCTCTCATCTGTTCTGTCAGGGCACACTCCTGATTTAATTCCTGGGTGGGCTCCATATAGTTTCCCACTGCCTGTTCAAAAATTCTGACCGCATTAGTCATCAAATCCGTATTCTCATTTAACTGTTCCAGTAGGGCATTTGTTTTACAGAGAGCACACAACAGAGCTTCTGAATACATTGTCCTACAAGGTCACAAGTCTATTTCCCACGATTGTAATCTGTAACAGCTGCAAGCTCCCTGGAATTAGTTACAGTTTCACAGTCTCCCTCTAGGGGGAAAACTTCTATTTGTTCTTTCTTTTAAGGACGAATCTAGCAACAAAGTTTCCTTTTTGAGATATTTTGTCAATATTTGTTCCTTTAAAATGCGAAAGGGAACAGTGGAATCACTATGTTTCTCTTCTTTTAGCTATCTGTCAAAAGCGTTTGTCTCTGGTCAATGAGCTTCAAACGTCAGTCCTGACACCCCGCTCCAGGATCAGGACGGTGGAAAGTTACTTTACTTTAAACTCACTTCTGCAGGTTTAAACAGTCCGAAAAGATCCCCTCCTTCTCCTGCTTCCGAAGGGGGGTTCAACAATTTTAAATGATGAAAGTTAATCTTTTAGAAGCGATTTTCTGAGCTCTAGTTTACGTTGTCTTTGCTTTATTCTGTCTACAAAGAAACGGAAGGCTGACTTCCTGTTTAGACCTTCCCGTTTCAGTGCCAAATTGAAGTGAATTTTTAAGTCCAATTCCTTTCTGCTCGCAAGTCCTTATTTAAAGTCCAATTGTCCGAAATTTAAGTACTCACGGGTGATTATTTTAGAAGCCAAATTGTCCCAGGAAAAAGGCAGCGCTCTCCGGCAACGGCTATGCGGCTTCGCTCCACGGAAAAAGCAGTTGACTCTCAGCACCGCGCCACTTCCCCCTCTTCGCTTCGGAGCCCGTTAGTGGGTTCCTTTGCGGGTTGGGGGGGCGCTAAGGGTGCCCGCCGAGTCCCATGGTCACAGGCTTCATCCGCCTGTGATTTTTAAAAGGGTCCCCGCTTCGCCGTAGCGGAAAAGACCCGTTTCGCGCGGAGCTAGTCCCTCCAGATCAGAGGGAGTCTGCCATTGCCGATGGCGCCACCCCGGAAGTACAAGACCCCCCTCTTCTGAGGGGATGAAGACTGCCAGATTTCAGAAAAAAAATAGACACAGCAGTTCTCCTACAAGCTCACACTTTTGTTTTCCCACCCTAAACTGGCAATCAAGTTCTCTCCCTCAGTTTGTTATGGGCAAAATCAGTTTGAAAACTGGAGATATGAAGGTGGCAGTCCTGGGTAAGAAACTCAACGAAGTTCATACAAAAGGTCCAGGGACTTTTTTGCTAGGTGATTTTCTCATCTCTCTCTCTCTCTCTCTCTCTCTCTCTCTCTCTCTCTCTATCTATCTATCTCTATCTATCTATCTATCTATCTATCTATCTATCATCTATCTGTCTATATCTATCTATGGAAATCATGCTTTTCAGTCCTTTCTGAAAGTGCCCTTTGTGAAGAAGAGAAAGAGAAAGAAATGATTTTTAATTGTTTGGTAGGAGGAAGAATGATTGGGAAGGAAGCAAGCTATCCCAGTAGTCAACTCTAGCTGCTTGCTTTTCATAGCCAAATGGATTGTGTACAAGAATGACAACCCAACTGAAGAACAACTGTTTATTTACTTCAACATCTTTCCCCGCAAACACTGTGATTGCAGTGCACTGGGGAAATAATTAAACGTCTGTCGATCCCTTCTACCTCTCCACCCCCTCTGGAGTTCTGGGCGTTTCCCCAATCAGTCTGGTTTCATTTCTAAGAAAAGAAAAAGCGACGTGGGGGCAGGGGGGAGGCTGCACATCTAACTTCTTTGAGGGGAAACAAGGCCACAGAGGGACCTTGAGAAGCCTTGTTAATTCCATTTGGGCACATGAAAACCTGCCAGAATCACTCCAATTTGCCGTGTTATTTGGGGCACACTCAGAACATATCTCTACTAAGGTAAGGCAAGGCAAAGGACTCCTGGACGGTTAAGTCCAGTCAAAGGCAACTATGGGGTGCAGCATTCATCTCACTTTTCAGGCTGAGGGAGCTGATGTTTTTCCACAGACAGCTTTCTTGGTCATGTGGTTAACATGATTAAACCACTTCTGGCACAACGGAACACCGTGATGGAAACCAGAGCGCATGGAAACACTGTTTACCTTCCCGCCGCAGTGGTACCTATTTATCTACTTGCACTGGTGTGCTTTCAAACTGCTAGGTTGGCAGAAGCTGGGACAGAGCAACAGGAGCTCACCCCATCGCAGGGATTCAAACCGCCGACCTTCTGATCGGCAAGCCCAAGAGGCTTAGACCACAGCGTCACCCGCATCCCTTATCCCTAGTATGCATCACTCACAGAGGCCTGCAACAAGTAAGGCCACAATTTCACACTAAAACCCCAATATCAAGATAACATACTCAGCAGGGCAAAAGCTGGTGGCCACGCAAAGTGCAACATGACTTGCAGAACAGCAGGCAGGGAGGCGAGCAAGCAGCCCAGGCAAGCTGCAGAGGAACGGCCAGGACCATCCTGCTCTGCTGACACTCTCTCACCTACCCTGCCACTAAGGCCACAGCAGTGCTGGAGGCTGAGGGAAGGCAGCAGAGCCCTGGTCTGCCCCACCTGTTATGGGCAGGGCTGTAAGGGGAGGGGAGGGGCAAACAGAAGCAGGTGGGGTAGAAAAGGGGAGGCCCTATCAGTGCAGAGTGGCCTTTGCAAGCCTTCCTGTGGCTCTGCTGGCTGCAGGAGAAAGCCTACTGCTGTAGCCGCCAACTCTTAATTGATTGAGTTTACTTTAATGCCACTTTTCCACAATGAAATGTGCCCGAAGCGACTTAACAGCTAACATTAAAAGCATCAAAATACAGAACATAGGAAATACAAATGTACAAAATGTAGACCATGTCAGTACAGTGGTACCTTGTGTTACAGACACTTCAGGTTACAGACTCCACTAACCCAGAAATAGTACCTTGGGTTAAGAACTTTGCTTCAGGATGAGAACAGAAATCGTGCTCCAGCAGCAGGAGGCCCCATTAGCTAAAGTGGTGCTTCAGGTTAAGAATAGGTTCAGGTTAAGAACGGACCTCCGGAACAAATTAAGTTCTTAACCTAAGTTACCACTGTAAATTAAAACATGACAAATATCAACAACTTGGCCAACAAGGAATAAATTCAATATATATTTATAAGGCCACAATCTGGGCTTAAGTACGTAAATACAAAGCAAAATGAGAGTTATATGCCAATAAATTCTCTGGTAATGTATTACCTGTACTCCAAGGAGCCTGGCTTACAAACAATGGGGTGGGGGGAGCATTTCCAAAAGGTGGTGCTTTAACTTGGATCTTAGGCAAGTCAATCAAAAAATTGTGTTTTTATCGTTTTTGTAAAGAAAAGCTCAACAATTTCGGTGGTTTCCTAAAAAGAAGCTCAGCAATGTTGAGGTCTTCCTAAAACCTCAACAACTTTCAGGGTGTACTGGTTTTTACTTGGCAACCCTACTGGAATGACCAGCTGCTGGTGCAGGTGTTATTGTGCTTTGAATTATCTGGGCATGGCTTTGGCATCTGTGAAGGATGGGTCAGGGTTTGGGTGATCTGTAAGGAGAAGGAATTGGGGCATGGGTAGCGGGGGGGGCAGCTGCCCCCCTAGATCAAGTAAAACAATAGAAATACTTAACTAACTGACCAATCACGTTGGTTCTGACCAAAGTCCCCCCCCAAAGTCCTGCCTGCCCCTAACAAAAATCCTGGCAACCTCCATAGATTGGGGGAGGTGTAAAGGGAGGGGGTTGGCCAGGGAGGGGTTTTTTGTGGTGTTGGTAAGCAATGTGAGCACAGCCTCTAGCAGTTTTGTAAATTGCAGGCTGCAAAGGCTCCTTTAAAGATCTATGTCTATTACAGTGGTACCTCGGGTTACATACGCTTCAGGTTACAGACTCCGCTAACCCAGAAATAGTACCTCGGGTTAAGAACTTTGCTTCAGGATGAGAACAGAAATTGTGCTCTGGCGGCGTAGCGGCAGCAGGAGGCCCCATTAGCTAAAGTGATGCTTCAGGTTAAGAACAGTTTCAGGTTAAGAACGGACCTCCGGAACAAATTAAGTACTTAACCCGAGGTACCACTGTATATGTTTTCTGGTTCATCAATCTACATTCCCTCCCCTTCCCTGGACTTTCTATGCATCATGTACTAATGATGAGATCCGAGAATGAGTTTTGGAAATGTTTTAACTCTCTCTGCTGCTGTCTGTATTGCCACCTAGTGACTAAAGTGCAGATTTAACCTACAATATTGAATCTTTAATACGGTATGTAAAGTTAAACGAACTGATGATGAGGGTTCTGCCTGAGCTAGTTACAGACCATAAGTTGTTTCTGCATTTTCATGGAAATTCAGATTTGGCATCCAATCACTGAACTCACCCTCAAAGCAGAAGTTATACATTTAATATTTTCGGGTAGGCAGATGGTTTCGTTGTGTAAAAATGGTTTCGATGTGTAAAAATTCTATCTAATATGCTGCAATTTGAAGCAGTCATGTTTTAATTTATTTCATTACAACCTGTCCCCCCACCCTCCACCTTTGTTTTCCAGCTCAGTGTCAAACCCCATCAGAAAATAAAGGTAAGATATCTGTTTTTGTTCCTTTTTTGAATTTAAATCTAATGTGCAAATACTGAAAAATCTTCCCAGATTTTCTCACACAAAGAGAGACAAAAATGCCCATATTTCACTCAGAGTAATTAATGCTACTACTTCACCCCATGTAGGAACTTGGCCAACATATCTATGAACCTCTTCATATTTAACATAGGGGGTGCTTTGCCATATCACTATTTGCCTTCCTGAATAATAATAATAATTGTGCTCATGGAACCCTTGTTTTAAAACAGCTGTCCTGGATGCCAGTTTGCTTCTGGGCCCAATTCCATGTGCCAACATGTTTAAAGCCCTAAACAACTTAGATGCCTCAGTCCTGTGAAGAGTTTCCAGACAAGCCACTAATTAATAAATTCAAGGAAAGTGCTATGTTTAATACTAGATTGTTTTAGGTAGAATACTTAACAAGAAACATTTGTTTACTTATCTCCTGATTTCTTACAGCGACATGCGTGGACATCAGCTTGGGATCCTGCAATGATGTGTCCTATTCAAAAACAATTTTCCCTAATTTGCTGGATCAGAAGTCCAGAGGAGTGATTGAATACAGCTCCGAATATATCTTGATGAGTGTGCTCCATAACTTGCTGCAGGGAGAATGCAATCCTGATCTAAGGATTCTAGGCTGCTCCATTATGGCCCCAAAATGTGAAGAGGGGAAAATTGTTAAGCCTTGTCGTAAAGTTTGTGAAGCTCTGAGGAAAAATTGCCTTCCTGCCTTTGATGCGATTGACATGGCATGGCCATATTTCTTAGACTGCGATCGCTTTTTCGTCGATGAAGTAGAAGGATGCTTTGATCCATTAGCAAAGCTGCGAGGTAAGAACCAAAGCCATGTCTGCATGTTGTATATTATGCTGCGACGATCAGATCCAGTCAGCAGGCCTAGAAATTTGGCATGTCCTTGTAAATAAAAGGACTAAAGGCCCTGGCCACAATCCGAAGTATTTATGTCTGTAGGCTACAGAATAATTCCTACCGATATAATTCCAATGTATTAGGGACTTTGACTAGAGGTCAACTGAATTACTCATTTTGTTACAATTGAATATTGGTTGCTGAAATCAACTTGTTTCAACCTGAGTTGAATCAGATGATGCATTTGTCATCTGGATTGCCAATCAGCCAGTCTTTTAAGAAGGAAAGCGGAGATGTCAGTCACATAATTAGATATGTAGCTGATAATTTATGCATAAATAAACTAACCAGATTACTGGCATAGCCTGTACAAAACCACCTTGGGTTGACATCTGTTTAGGTCCATGTAAATCAGTCCTGAATGAAATAAAGTATTTGGTGTCCAGTTGGGACAAAGGTTTTTATTCTACATCACCTTGAGGCAATTGCGTAGAAAGTGATCAATAAACTGATGATTTAACATATCCTGCACGCAGATTGGTTAAATCTCAATGTAATTTTAATGCCAAAAGGGTCAGATTAAGATTAGTTGATGTCTTGGAGTTGCAATCATTTGATCAGGAGGGAGTAGAAAAACATGTCTCTTTATAGTACAAAGAGGTATCACTCTAGCTAAAGGAACCAAGATTTTATGTCTTCAAGCATGAAGATCTCTTTTGCAACCATTTTATTCTTCCTTCATACTTCACAACAGCCATGTGGGGTAGGCTAGCCTGAGAGCTGGTGATTGATCCAAGGCAGGAAGTGAGCAAAAACAATGATGAATTAAGTGGAAGTGAGTTTAAAATGTAAAACTGTATATGCTCAGATTATTTTCATTTTGGTTTTTAGGCTTGACAAAATGTTTTTTGCTTTGGTGTTTTGTTAAGATTTGTGAAACTCTACAGGCTCAGATTACCTTTTTTGTAGTCCACAAAATCTTATGCCACAACAAACTTGTTAGTCTTTAAGATGCTACAAGACTTGTTTTATGATATTCCAAATGCCTCTGAGACGTTCACAAACAGAGCATGATGGAGAATAAGGTCTGCTGGACATAGTTCTCAGAGACATATTTTCCTTAGGGACCACTCTGCCTGCAACCCAGGGAACAGGATGACTTAACATGGGGTAAGTGTGATCCTAAAATAGAATATTAACCACCTACTTACAATTGGCTAACGTGTTTGATTTACACATATCTTTTCATTTCTTTGAATTACATTTGTCCCAATTGTGTTATGTCCTTAGATGTTGGGATAATCTTCTACATGGGCATAACAATTAGTGAGCAAACACAGCTACGTCAATTTTCTTGCATTGCAGGGGAAACTGAATTTGTGGAAGATGCTCCCAGTGAGGTTCCTACTTTCATTCAGTTCACCCACCACTCGTACTCACAAATGGTGAGAGAATTGAAAAAGGTAGCATCCAGATGTTCCCACATTGCTAAGTTGTACAGTATCGGCCGCAGCTTTGAAGGGAAAGACCTCTTTGTGATTGAGTTTTCTACTAGTCCTGGACACCATGAATTGCGTGAGTAATGGACACTAGAGGTATATGAAATTTGTTCAGAGTATTGGCATTGCTTGAACCATGGCAAACTGGAAAGAATACTCCTGTTCCTTACTGTTAACTACACTAGGGATTGAGACCTGCATCAGCGAATAACGACTAAATTAAATGTATTTATTTTGCTGTTTGGTAATAGCAGTGTTCAACTGCTGTAATATTTATAGAATGAGCATGTCAAATAACCATAAATGAACTATTGACTTATTGCATGTTTATACCAGATCCTGTTTCCACCCTCCAGCAGTGGCTTAGTGTGGGTTGCCAGAACCAGGGCTGCACCTGCTCTGTCTGAAACAGAGCCTACCCACCCCAGGAAAGAACTCTTTGGTGGTGGCACGCCTGTGCCTCTCACCTTGAGGCATGAAAATGTGGGATGTGAAACACAAGAGCAGTCAAGTACAACATTCCTAGAGTGAACATGTTTACACATGGGGAGGAATGTTTGTCCAGCCAGCAGGTAAACTTCCTGTTTCCTTCTGGGCTGGGACAGATTTCCTCTGCAAGTGACTAGAGGTGTGTGTGTGCAGGTAACGACAAAAGCACAGGGCAGGGCAGCCATCTCTCTTTCTTTCTCCACATGCATCAAAGAAGCAACATCTGCTTAGCCAAAGATGCCCTCTTGGCTTCCAGTCTCTTGGTCTCCTTATGGAATAGTTTCCAAGTATATGTTACTTTTCTAAGCTAAGTTTGCCTTCTGGGATCCGATTGTGAACAGAATGTGTGAGTAAACCTTTTTATACTTTTATAGAAGACTGTCATGTCTTATCCTTTATGAGGGAATAAGGGGGAAATACCAGAACAGTTATTATAGAGGCTTTAGCAAGCCTGAGCAAACACATCCGCTGCAAGTTTAAAAAGGGGAATGTTACTCTGCTAAATTGTGAACTTGTTAACACAAGTTGGAAAAGGATATAATCAGACAATATATCCTCTCCTGCATCCCTGAAGATTCCCACAGAAAAGGCCAGCTTGGGGCAGGGAGAGATCAAATGTCTCCCAGTGGTTCTTACTTTGGCAGTTTGTGACAGACACCTTGATGAGGGCAACACAAACCACAGTGACCACTGAGCCAAGTCTCACGGTCTGTTTCTTGAAAGTCATCTTGAAAGCCAGATAAAACATATCCTGGTTCATCTCTTCACAGTTAAGCCAGAGTTTAAATACATCGGCAACATGCATGGAAATGAAGTTGTGGGCAAAGAATTACTGATCTACCTTGCTCAGTATTTGTGCTCTGAATACCTTACTGGGAATTCCAGAATCCAGACGCTGATCAACAACACTCGAATTCATCTCCTTCCTTCCATGAATCCAGATGGATATGAACTCGCAGCAGAAGAGGTCAATACCTAGCAGGGGATTGGGCAGAACTTTTGTTTTGTTTTGAAAAAATATAGTGCTAAAAAAAATAGTGCCCAAGGTGTCTTAACAATGAATTCACAAAACAATATTTAAAAAACTAAAAAACCTCTTTTGCTTTTCTTTGGCAATAGTGTGTGATTTGCATTTCTTACCTGAGTCTTCCAGAACAATTTATTTCGGGGTGGGGCGGGGCTGATGTGTAGATCCTTCTGCCTCTTGGTCAGGAGTTTGTGGTCAGCAGTTCCTTCAGCTCTGTAAGGCTGTAGCACCCAAGCTACAGTTCTCTCCCCCCCATAATCCCAGGTAGAAGGAGATCCTGCAACGTTAATATGTTGTGTCTTCTCCAGTTTTCAAAGACATGTGCAGGAAGATGAATCAAAGGAGATACTTTTGGAATTGCCATCTCCTCCCCTTTGCTTCCCCCTAAGGTAAAATTCCTCCCCTTAGTGACCAGGGCAAAGTAGTGCAGGTAGAAGGCCCCCTCAGACACCCCAATATCTGAACTGACCACTTGAGTTTTCTACTTCATTTTCAGGGCAAGCAGGCCCACTTCTAGCTGTGACTATTTTGTTTAGATTACATGTTAGTTGCTGTTGTGGCTCTTCTGGATTTTCTCTGGTGCTTCAGTGCACCATCTCAAAGTAGCACCAGAGTTGTGGAGCTTGTCCTTTTGTTCACTGCTTGACCAGGGGGCTGGCTACAATGGATGGACAAATGGGAGACAAACAGCGCAGAATCTGGATCTTAACAGGAACTTCCCAGATTTGACGTCTGAAGCTTACAGGCTATCAAGGATCCGAGGGGCTCGTACTGACCACCTCCCAGTTCCACAGTCTTACTGGTGGGGTAAGGTATGGATTGCAAAAGTTTATGAAACGTGCTCTATTTTATAGGCCATTAACATAGTATCTAAAAAGGTAAAGGTACCCCTGACTGTTAGGTCCAGTTGCGGAGGACTCTATGGTAGTGGCACTCATCTCGCTTTATTGGTTGAGGGAGCTGGCGTACAGCTCATGTGGCCAGCATGACTGAGCCACTTCTGGCGAACCAGGGCAGCGCACGGAAATGCCGTTTACCTTCCCGCTGGAGCGGTACCTATTTATCTGCTTGCACTTTGATGTGCTTTTGAACTGCTAGGTGGGCAGGAGCTGGGCCCGAGCAACGGGAGCTCACCCCGTCGCAGGGATTCAAATCCCCGACCTTCTGATCAGCAAGCCCTAGGCTCAGTGGTTTAGACCACAGCACCACCCGTGTCCCCTAACATAGTATCTAATTGCACATTTAAAATATCCTTAGATCATCGGGGCTAACATACCCTTTGGTGCATAGTCTGCCTTATTTCAGTAATGCGTGTCAAAATGACCTCAGTTCTTAATTTCATGAGCTACGGTGATATCCTTCTTTACACAGAGCACTTTCATTAAAATGTTACAGCGGTAATCTTCAGGCTGTGTTTTCCATTCATAAGATCTCAATGAGGCCATATTAAATGCATCTTAATGTGATCACTTTAAAATGTTCTTCAGGTTGCCCCTGAGACGAAAGCTGTGATGAAGTGGATCAAATCTATCCCGTTTGTCCTGTCTGCCAGTCTTCATGGGGGGGATCTGGTTGTTTCCTACCCTTACGATTACTCTGTACACCCCCTGGAAGAGAAAATGTTTTCCCCCACCCCCGATGAAAAGGTAATATTGCATGACAGACCCATTCGGAGTAATGCGAACCTGTGTGAATTTGCAAAATGGCTGACCAAAGAATTTGCTAAGAATTGCCTGACAAGAAAAGTGTGATAGTTCTACAAACAGCAATTGCTTGCATTTAAATGGCTCACCACGCACATCCATTGCAGTTTAGAACAAGAGTCATTGTATTTAAGAAGAAAATGGCTGAATCCATTGTCCCAGGAACGCCAAGTCTTAGTCCCCAGGATCAGCAGGAAACATTGAAAGAGCAGCTCTGAGTAAAATTAAAAGGCAACAGAAGGGGGCAGTAATGTCATTTTTATTTAGTCTGTCAGAAGAAGCCCTTTTACTCACTTTCTTTGGGGTTGCAACTCCCAAAGCATCTTTATTTAGAAGCCTATGGGATCTCCTTCCAAGTAAATTTGTCTAAGATCAGAGTGAGCTATTACCCTCTGAAGAACTTTAAAATGCACATTTCTCATTTTCCTCTTGTGCATTTTATTGCCTTAAATCGCTGAATTACAAGAGAAATATTTCACTTTTATCTCATAAAATGCTCCCCACCCCTTTTAAGGCAATCGTACATGTAGTATTATATATCTGGATTCATCACACCAAGCAGGTAAGATGTCTATAAGATGGAGCCCAAGATATTTTGTGTGGATTCTCAGGGCCCAGGAATCATTTTGGGAAGGCCAGTATAGACTTGGAATATGGGTCTCTCTATAGACTTGGAATATGGGTCCTATCCTATACATTCAATCTCATGAGTCATGGAAGAAAAATGTTTCTCCAAATTCTGAAATGACATTTCTAACATTTCTGAAATTGCACCATGGGCAATGCTAGTGTTTGTCTACTAATCCCCAAAACACACACATTTTTTCTTTGCTATTATTTTGCTTTTTTTGGGTTATTTTTGTAACTTTGTGTTGGTCTCAGTAAAGGAATTATACCACCAATGTTTTGAATACCACCACCCCCCTTAATGGATTCACAAGGCTGCAAACATTTTATAAAGCATGCCATTCCCTTCAAAGTTTTATTTTTATGGTCTTTTTTTCATTGCAAAATCATGAATTATCTCCCAAAGGTCAATTTCTTCTGGCAAATATATACTTGATAGACAAAATAGCTAAGTGACTCACAGAGCAATCCTATGCATTAGAGATTAGGCTGACTTTGTTCAGTGGTGCTTACTTCCCCCTAAGTCAGCATGGCATTGCAGCCTTATCCACTCTGGGCTTCTGGTCGAGCACGTGCAGTTTTTAATGAATGGCCCTTTACACTATTCGCAAGGCTGGATCTTTGCCCAAACAAACAAACAAACAAACAAGAATCAGACAGTACAGCTCTCTTCTCTCCTGTTTCTTGTGAGCCTTTTCAATGTGGTGATGCTAATGGTGCTATTACCTGTCTTTTGAAAGCATTAGACTGGAGTCACGTGATGCTTGCGGCCCATTGTCTTCATCATTTGCCAAAGACAGTCTCGACACTGAAATCATCTTATTCATCAACTTCCCTAGTTAGTGTATTACCCGAGTCAGACTGCAAAATGGCTTGTTTTTCTGGGAAAAGGCTAGAGGATTGTTGGTGTCGTTTAGCTCCCCTTATTTAACTTCCTTGCATTTTTGACTCCTTGACTGATATGTATAACCAGTCCCAGAAACAGTGGTATGCCGTGTGAACGACACATTTACTCACATAGATTTTGGGCCTCTGATTCCTACCAGCATCACGGGCTATCACTGTCCCTGGTTATTATAGGTGCTTTGTCCCTTCCAGCGGCTGCATCCCTCTCCTGCTGTGCACAAGGAACCCAGGGACTTGCAGTTCTTGAGAACACAAGCACAATCTTTCTGTCTCTAAAGCTACAAATGCTAGCTTTTCTGCAGAAACACGTTCTCCCTGTCCTAGGCAAGGGTCCAGATGCACAACTCATTGTTTGGAAAGTTAGTTCTTCTTTCCTAACACAGACTCTGATTGATTGACTCCAGCAGATCTCACAATAGGTATGTAGATGTAGGTGTGGTACGCTGGTTTGACATCAGCGGATAGGAAGTGCCTACAGAGGGTGGTGAATACAGCACAAGATATTATGGGCTGTCCCGTGAATCCGCTGGATGAAATAGCAGAAGAACATTGCCTCAGGAGAGTGAGGAAAATTCTCAGGGATGATTCACACCCTGGCCGGCACTTTCTTGATCTCCTGCCCTCAGGCAGAAGATAAAGAAGCATGATTAGTCGCACCAACAGGGTAAAGAACAGCTTCTATCCGTGGGCTGTTAGGCTGCTGAATGAAAAGGTAACAACAGGGCAACTGACTTTTGGGTTTGGTGGGTGTGCGTCAGTAAATGAGGGGAATTAAGACTAAGAGAGCTGAGTGGGGGGTGCTCATGTAATCTCACTGTATACAAGTTGTACAAGTGACAATAAAGTATTTCAATATTTCAATTTCAATAGATACAGGAAAAATAATTTCCCAGAAATATTCTGAAGCATGATCTGCAATTTAGTCAGTTTGGACCAGGCTCTGCTGGTGCACCTGATGGGAGAGTCAAGGGCTCCCACAGTTTGATCAAGTGCTGGAGCCAATGCAAGACTGGATTCACCTAACCTGGATGTTCTGCTGCCTAATCTCAGATGTGTTGGATTGTGCTGTAGCCATTCAGTCAGGAGGAAAATGCATGCTGTCTTTCTCAGAGGCAACTTTTCCAGTTCTAGCGAGTCCTGGCATAGATGAAGACCTGATATCCTCATTTCAGTGCATGGAGCAGTCTGGGAGGCATTCTCTGACACCCTGCAGTGTTGGGTATCCAACTGAAAGGGGAGCTAGTCAGGCAAGAAGAGGTATTGAGGGGAGAGCTAAGGGCACAGTGTCCCTCAGCCCAACAGGGGATAAAGGTGGGGTGGGAGATACATTGGGCGGGGGCCCCAGCCACTAAGAAAGTGAAGCCCCCAACCCAAAAAGGGTGAGAGTCTCACCAGATAGCTCTGAACGTTAGAGACGTACTGGAGCTCTGAAGGCATTTGTGACCCACAAAGCAGTAAGATGGGAACCCTCAGGATCTGTTTGCCCATTGTCAGCCTTGGCTTTTGGAGCCCAGAAAAATCTAGCCTTGTTCCTTATCCACAGCTGCTTCACACACTACCCAGAAGCAACAACAAAGTGTGAGCCACCTGCTTCAGGTTGTTGTGCAAAGGCAAAAACTGTTGACAAGGTTTTAGATTGGCTCCAGGCAAAGCACCCGACACCATCTTTACAGAAGAACTGCTGCCACTTCTGGATTCTATGTGACGTGGACCTCAAAATATAAACAAGGAGAAGCTTAATGCGTTTTAGTCAACGGCCCGCCACCTGCTTTGTCTGTGGTTCCTGCTATTAGTTAACCTAGAACTTGGAGTGAAATGTGCTTCACCAAGGGAGGCTTGCCTCTTCTTGCTGCTGCAGCCTGTCTGCCCTTCATCCAGAAGCTGCTCCTCAGCTGCAGCCCCTCTGCCGGCTGCCCGGTCACAAGTCCTTGGGCCTTGCTGTCTCCCCCTCTTAATCTCCACGGCACATGTGCTTCTTTGTGCCTCCATAGCATTTGCTGGTTTCTCTCCTCCAGACACTTCACCACCAGAATATTTTAGCTAGGCAAATGCACAGCTGAGTGCCTTTCTCTTAAGGTTTTTCAAAGGCTGTTAGCAGAATATCTGCAGTCTAGTACAACTGACATCAAACCAGGGCTGAAATAAGCCCTTTTAATTTATGCCAAGAGAACAGAGGTGCCCTGGAATGGGCATTTGTGACTTCGCTTGCCAGATCTATTCAAAGAAATGCTGAGCATTTAACACCTTTGGAAACATATAAGAGAGGTTTTTAAACTTTATTTTATACCATCACTGCTCGTTGCCTAGAGAATATATTTTTATTAGGCGACTAATGAAAATAAGCATAACAACCCGAAGCATTTGCAGTTAGAAATTGTGCTGCAGTTTAAAACACACAAATTCTAAGTGGTGGTTGGACACAGATGTGGAATCATTATTAATGACAATATGGTAATAAAAAAAATTAATGACCAAGAATCCTCACTCTGCTGATGTAAAATTAAAATAGCAACAAAAACTTCACACACAACAGACAAGGATCCAGGAGGGAGACTGACAATCAAGGTTCCTTTGTTGCACCTACAAACGAATCTCTTTGGGTTCAAAACTAGACTGCTTCCTCTCTTTTTTTCATTCATTAAAAGAAGAAATGAAGTGAGCAACACAGTAACATGATAGGAAATTATACAGGATCAGAAACTGTAAAATTTTCTTGTTTTTCTTTTTTTATCTTTTTGTAAATGGCTTTGAGGGTTCCGCCACCAGCAATCAAACTCTGTCTAAATTTAAATAAAGAAACAAGCAAGCCAGCCAAAACGTTATGCCAAACATTTTCAGCCCATTTAACTAGAATAGGCTGGGGGTGTTTCCCATAATATCCCAGTACTGGTGGGCTGCTGTGCAGGTCACAACCTGTTTGAAATGTCCAAATGCAAGTGGTAGCATCAGGAATTTAATGGACATGTGCTTGCAACGTGTGTGTTTCAACAACTGGAAGGCAAACAGCATTTGGAGTAAATAAAAATAATTCAACTCTCTCTTGTTTTTTTAGATGTTCAAATTGCTGTCTAAAGCCTACGCAGATGCACACCCCGGCATCTCGGACAAGTCAGAAATGCGTTGTGGTGGAAATTTTGTGAAGCGAGGAGGCATCATAAATGGTGCTGAGTGGTACAGCTTTGCAGGAGGTACATCTCTTTAGCAATTTGATAACTCTGCAAGAAGTCTGAAGTTTCTAATCTTAAATTCTCAAAGGAAATTTCAGTAAGGCTTTTGACAAAGTCCTCCATAATAGTCTCAGGAGGAAGCTCGTAAAATGTGGGTTGAATGAGGAAGCTGTTAGGTGGATTTGTAGCTGGTTGACTTACTGAACCCAAAGAGTGTTCATTAATGGTTCCTCGTAATCCTGGAAGAAAGTGACAAGTAGGGTGCCACAGGGTTCTGTCCTGGGCCTGTTGTTGTTCAACTCTTTATAAATGACTTGGAAGAAGGAATTGAGGGGATGCTTATCAAATTTGTAGATGACACCAAACTGGGAGGGGTAGCTAATGCCACAGAAGACAGAATCATAATTCAAAATGACTTTGATAAATTGGAGAATTGGGTACAAGCTAACAAAATGAATTTCAATATGGACAACTATAAGGTTCTGCGCTTAGGCAGGAAGAACCAGGTGCACAAATCTAAGATGGGGAACACCTGGCTTACTAGTTGTACATGTGAAAAGGACCTAGGGGGTCTTAGTGGACCACAAGCTTAACAGTGTGATGCAGCAGCAAGAAAAGCTAATGCTATTCTAGGCTGCATCAACAGAAGCATAGTGTCCAGATCAAGGGAAGTCATGGTCCCACTCTATTCTGCTTTGGTCAGACCACACCTGGGAATACTGTGTTCAATTCTGGGCACCACAATTTAAGAAGGATGTTGACAAGTTGGAATGTATGCAGAGGAGGGCAACCAAGATGGTCAAGGCTCTGGCAACTAAGCCTTACAAGGAGCGCTTGAAGGAGCTGGGTATGTTTAGCCTGGAGAAGGGGAGACTGAGAGGAGATATGATAGCTATCTTCAGATATCTAAAGGGCTGTCACATGGAAAAGGGAGCATGCTTGCTTTCTCCTGTTCCAGAGGGTAGGATCTGAATCAATGGTTACAAGAAAGGAGATTCCATCTAAACATCAGGAAGAACTTTCTGACAGTAAGAACTGTTCAGCAGTGAAACAGACTCCCACAAGAGGTGCTGGACTCTCCATCCTTGGAGGTTTTTATAGGTTGGATGGCTTTAGCTGAGATTCCTGCATTGCAAGGGGTTGGACTAGATCACCCTTGGATCCCTTCCAATTCCAAGATTCTATGAAATAGACTCTTAAAATGGACAAACCACACAATATTTTCACATATTATAGCAATTCTTAGAATTCCATGGGTCAGTGTCATCGTAGTGTGTCAATGAAGCTATTGCGAGTTGAGAAAGAGAAACTTTGGCTAAGTGTGCTGATTTGTTATTTATTGCATTTCTATCCCACTTTCCCATCCAAGGAGCTCAAGGTGGCTCTCCTGCTCCTCATTTAATCCCCACAACAAGAACCCTGTGAGGTAGGTTAGGCTGAGAGGAAGTGACTGGCCCAGGTTACCCAGCGAGCCTCATGTGGGGATTTGAATCTAAGGCTGGATCAACACTGATAAAAAAAAATGCTAAGAAAAAAAGTTATATCTGTCAATGCAATTTCCCATTGGCTGCTGGTGTCGCATTTTTATACCGCATTTATAATGTTATAGCTCACCAGTATAGATTAGTCCTAAGGACTAGCCTCCCAAGTCCTAGCCTAATACTCTAACTGCTACACCACACTGGCTCTAATGTAGGCTTGACTAATTTGTGATCCATCAAACCAAATGTATTAAAAGGGAGAGAATGATATATCTGCCAGCATTTCACAGATGGAAACGGTGATGTGTTTTTATCTTACCAAGAATTACGTACTTCACACTGTTGACAAGACACAACACTACCTGCTTTATTCGCTGGTTTTGCAGTAATCTGTCCTCTGCTGAATTTAGAGCCAAAAGTGTGATTCACTGGAAGCAGGGAAATGCTGTGGACACATAATTGCCCCACAATCTGTTATGGATAGTTCAAAATATCTTAGCAACTGTACAGTGTGAAACAACAACAACAACAACAATAACAATGTTTATATCCTGCCTCTTTTCTATAAAGAGATCCAAGGTGGCTTATGGATAAAACAGAAACAGCTGAAAGCATAGAAAAAAATAAAATTAAAAGCAATTAAACACTGATTAGTATTTAAAACAGTGCTTTTTTCAGGGGGTACTTGAGGGTACACAGTACTGGCACCTTGTTGTTGTTGTTGTTGTTAAGAAGTGTGACGCTTACTGTAACAGCTTCATATTGAGTACTGGCACCTATTTTTCTAGAAAACAAAGCACTGATTAAACACACAGACATATAAACGCACACATATAAAAGATATATTAAAACATACAGATAATAACAACAAGAACATCACAACACCAGCCCTTTCCTTAAAAACAGTCAGGCAGAAATGGCAGGCTGTGCTGTATTTTTCACGCACAGATATTTATCTGCATGTGCACTAGAGACAAAGTGCATCCGTGCACCTCCTAAGAGCTCTAATCTTGACGAGGGAGCCGAACACTGAAGACTGACTACTCCAGCAATTCACCCTAACAAAAGCCTAGCATGGCATCCCTAAGGGGAGAAAGTAGGGGAAATGCTTTGCCAGGGACAGGAGCCAGACAATAGGCTCTTTCTCTGGCTGATACTGTGGGTGAATGGGAAGGTTTCTGAGGAATCGTTGTTCTTCAGGCATCTGTTTCTAGAACGGCTAATGAGACAAGCCAAAAGTGCGAGTGAACCAGGCGATTTCAAGCTACACAGGACCCACCTCCCATGTTGAGACATGACTATCTGAACAGGGAACTGGGCATTTGGAATGGACTGAAGAAGTCCTAGTGGAGCCTGGAAGTGGTCTCTCCCCCACCCTCAGTGAGACCTCCTGTGTACCAGGAAGCGGTGAGACTGCTACCCACTTGGCACAGAGATAACCACAGTGGATTGTGGGATCTATTCCAGATGATACAAATCCATTCCAGAGTTTTGGCAGAACAGAATGAACTCACAGAGTCATAGAATGATAGAGTTGGAAGGGACCCCAAGGATCATCTAGTCCAACCCCCTGGAGGAATCTCAACTAAAGCGTCCATGGCAGATGGCCATAATTCCTCCCAAATTTTCCAGAGTGGAACTCCAAATCTACATTGATTAGAATGTGATTCTGTTCCAAAACTAATCTCCTGTTTTCTGTTCCACATTCACACAATGCGGCAGCTAGACTGGTGACTGGGAGTGGCCACCGAGACCATATAACACTGGTCCTGAAAGATCTTCATTGGCTCCCAGTACGTTTCTAAGCACAATTCAAAGTGTTGGTGCTGACCTTTAAAGCCCTAAACGGCCTTGGTCCTGTATACCTGAAGGAGCGTCTCCACCCCCATCATCCAGCGCCAAGGGCCTTCTGGTAGTTCCCTCGCTGCGAGCAGTGAGGTTACAGGGAACCAGACAGAGGGCCTTCTCGGTGGTGGCGCCTGCCCTGTGGAATGCCCTCCCAGCAGATGTCAAGGCAATAAACAACTATTTTACTTTTAAAAGACAACTGAAGGCGACCCTGTTTAGGGAAGTTTTTAATGTCTGATGCTGTATTGTTTTTAATATTCAGTTGGAAGCCGCCCAGAGTGGCTGGGGAAACCTAGCCAGATGGGCGGTGTATAAATAAATAAATAAATAAATAAATAAATAAATTATTATTATTATTAAACTAAACCCTGGGAGGCTCCAAGTTGCTTTAGTGTCGTATCAAAATACCCCCAACAAATGCCATTACTGATGAACCTTCCAATCTTCCTCTTTTCAAGGAATGGCAGATTTTAATTACCTTCACACAAACTGTTTCGAAGTTACGGTGGAGCTTGGTTGCGAGAAGTTTCCCCTGGAAGAAGAACTGTATTCACTCTGGCAGCAAAACAAAGAAGCTCTTCTGAAGTTCATAGAAATGGTAGAGTTTCTTGTGACTTCTTTCTTTCTCCTTCCTTTTACTGAGCTGCTCACCAGGGAGGGTTTGTGACACGATTTGACTCAAGGGACCCAGCTGCCTTTTCCACAAATGGGCTGCAAGTAGCAGTCCACAGATAACTCTGATGTAACTTCCTCCCATATTTGAGATTATAGCTGAAGACCGAGGGCAAGCAGTGTCCAAATTCCTGCTGTCAAGCCAGTTACGTGTGCTCATTTTCCATTCTGTTCATCCTGGGCAGGGCCAGCCTGTCCATGAAGCAAACTGAGGCAGCTGCCTCAGGTAGCGGAATCCAAGGGGCACCGCCATGAGCATCCATTGCTGCTGCTAGAGAAGTGAGGAGAAGCAGCTCAGCTCTACAGTTCTTTGATTCTAATGTGTAGTGCAGACAGTGGCTTTTTCTGGGTGTACTGAAAGGGTATGCCGTACAGGCCTCTTTTTTCTAGAAGAAAAGCACTGAATTCAAATGTCATTTTTACAGTCATTTTTGTGCAGGGCACTTCAGAACAGACCTTCTTGAAACCCTTATTGGGGAGGCTGCAACTTATGTTTCTGAAGCAAATGCTATCTTAGATCAGTGGCCTCGCAAGTCTACCAGAACAATAAGTGGCTGCAAAATTAGGAGCAACAAGACATCCCTTTCCAGGTCATTAGCAGGTATCTGTTGTGTATTGTTCTGAGGAGCCTGGTCATAATAGGGATTTAAAGTAGTTAGGAATATGCCCGTTTCCCTTCACGGGCATTAAGTTACTCCTCATTAAGCATCCCTGTTTTATTTGCAGTATCATCTTTCAATACAAAGTCCAGTCCAGACCCATAAATTTATTTTTATTTTACAGCTGATCTGCTTTAGAGAATCCAAATGGGACTCACTCGAGACAAAAGGGCCTGCAAATAAATGAGCCCTAATAGAGATGACTGAGTCAAGTCACTTTGTGTTTAGCCATAGGCCATTGTAACAAAACACTGACCTCACCCAGTAAAGTCTGGGAAGCACTGGAGGAAGAACAGGAGTGCGGAGGGAGCGAACCACCCCTGGCGCCACTATTCTGGTAGGGTGCTGTCACAGCGGCCCCCCTGGACACGTGCCACGCACCCCCCCATGCCCCAGGAGCCATGCCCCCAGAACACGCACCACACCCTCGCGGGTGGCGTGTCACACCTCTGCGGATGGCGTGCTATGCCCCCGGGATGCGCATCATGCCCCTGGGGCACTAGCCATGTCCCCACCTGCTCTCCACCCCTGGTAGCGGAGCATGCAGCTTCGCCACTGCTGGGAGGAGCCCTGAATATAGCACTTAGGGAAGCAATAAACCAAGGAAATTTCCTGAACAACCGAGGGTCCTCTCAGTCAAAACTTTTGCCTCATTCCACCCCCGCATCCCAATTATCGCAAAAAAGGGCCACTCTGTGCATGGTAGATAAATCTTCACATGATAATCAATTCTAAACATTCCTGGGCTCAACCACCTTTTTCAACTTCAGTAGATGGTATTGTGCCATCTCATAAAGTTTCACCTGAAACAGAAATGTAGATTGATGGATCTCGCAGCAATAGATGGAAATCCACTCTCTGCTCTGTGGCAACCCCTCAGGGGAAAGCCTTACTCACCAACATCTCTTCTTCGTTCAATAAGCAGCAATTAACTTTATAGTGAAGTAAAAATTAGAAACATGAGCTATTTACAGGCTATTTACAAAAATGTTTCCTACTCGAAATATTTTGAAGCCAACAACCAAACACAGTTACTATTTTTTTAAGTACACAATTTTTCATAAAACCATGGAAGATTGGGGGAGGATGAATAACTAATGAATTTGTAACACTGAAGAAGTTGCACCCATCATCAAAACCTGATGAAAAGTCAGTTAATTCTGTCCTGCACTTTTCTGTCTTCACATCTACTTTATGTCAAGAAGATGGAGAAACATGGACATGATTGGAATACACTCTCTCTTGCAGACAACAGCCCGGGCCCAAGCAGCAACTTATTTGTAGTTTCAAACAAGGTTGATGGGGCTGATCAGTTGGTTTTACTCAGTCCTGGGTTGAATATACATTCGCCTGCAGGCCTGACAAAGTCACTCTAGAGTGCCTGCTGTGGCTGCAGACACCAGTGTGGGAGAGACATGTTTTGTTGCAGCTGGAGCAGATGAAACATCCAGAAGTGTTGCTACAGGTGCATGATGGCATTTCTTCATGCCTCCCAGAGGTCATTCCTCCTCTGGTCACTGCACAACATGAGTGTCTGTCTCTAGGCACTGTGGTTGTCTGCAAGGGATTCCCACATGGTGAGGGTGATGTTGCCAACCTTCATGTCATGTTTGCAGACATCTGTGCCTTCTTCTTTGGCGATTCCCCGTAGCCGAGTAAGATTGTCTTCCATAAACATGGTTTTAACAATGAGTCCGTAACTGATTGTGGGGGCCAATTCTGGATCCACACATCCTTCCACAAGTGGGGACATAGGCTTCCGAGCAGGAGTAACACAGAGTTGGTCTGCCAATGGGCCTGGTGCCTGAAGCCAGCTCCCTACAGATCACATCCTATCATCTTCCATTCTGTGGATATGACCAAGCCAGTGTAGACGTCGCCGAGACAGAAGGGTGAACATACGGGGAATGTGGCCTCAAGAGAGCACATCTTTAAGACTCTGTCTTGCCATGTAATGCCCAAAATCTTCTAGACGCAGTGCATGAGATGTCACTCCTAACAGTTGTAAGTTGCCTACATAAAGCAGCATGTTCCACACACAAGCCTGGTTGACCTTCATCTTGTTATTGGATATAGGCATCACATTCTCCCATACCCTTTTGGAGAGGTGAGCCATTACCGTAGCTGCCTTGCCAATATGCTTGTCCAGCAGTTGGTTATGATGGAGCCTATGTAGACAAAATTGTCTACCGTGTGCGGTCAACAGTGCTGATGTGTGGGGTCCTGGCGATGTCCTGACCCAGGATGTTGGTCATTGCCAAGCTGGTGGTAAGGCTGAACTCCCCAAAGACTTGGGGAAATGATTGATGAGTCTCTGTAGAGCTTCCTCAGAGAGCGCTGTCAAGGCTGTGTCATTTGCAAACAAGACCTCTTGGATAAGGACTTTTGTCTTGGTGTGGGTCATGACTGTTTGAACAGACCTCCTCAAATGAAAGTCCACACTGTCTTCAGTTGAGCTGAAGGCAAAAGAGAGCAGCAGGGAGAAGAATATGATAAAGAGAGTTGGGATGAGAACACAACCCTGTTTCACACCATACAATTAAAATCATAAAATAAAAACCACAAACAACCACAGAGGTAAAATGCCATTAAACTCTCACTACACATGCTGATTTTAATGGTGCTAGTGAGGAATAGATACAATTAGCTACTTTATTACCACCTGTTAAAATTGCTGTCTCTTTCTTTGTAGGCTCATCGTGGAATAAAAGGAATTGTATCTGACAAATTTGGAAACCCGATAAAGAATGCCCGAATTTCGGTCAAAGGCATCCGTCATGATACACTTGCAGGTAATAGAGTTCGATGGAGAAGCAAATTAAAGCCTGAAACTGGGAGGTGGGATTCATCTGAATATCACAATATTCTTTTTTCATTTCAAATACAGTAATATTTTATTAATTGATTCACTTATGCAACAACTTCTTTACCTTCAAGTCAATTTACAAAATCCAAAAGCAATAAAACGACTCGGACATTAATTGTAACTAATAAATTAAACTATCAAAATACAGTAGTTCCTCGGTTTATGAACTTAATCCGTTCTGGAAGTCCGTTCTTAAACCGAAACTGTTCTTAAACTGAGGCGTGCTTTCCCTAATGGGGCCTCCCACCACCGGTGCCCTTCCACTGTTCAGCTTCCATTCTTAGACCGAGGTAAAGTTCGCAAACCGGGACACTACTTCTGGTTTTGTGGAGTTCATAAACCAAATAGTTCGTAAACAGGGCTGTTCTTAAACCGAGGTACCACTGTATCAAAGGAAAGATCAAAACAAGGGGAAAGCCAATGTGATGCTCTCCAGATTGCAGTTCCCATCAGCTCTGACCATTGGCCATGCTGGCTAGGGCCGATGGAAATTGTGGTCGCTTCAGGCAGTGGAATCTGGGGGGGGGGGGCTCCATCTGCCCCTGCCACCACAGCAGAACTCACAGAACTCTTGTGGAAGTCTTGACACCAGTAGGTGAAACTTTGGGGTGGCAAAGTAGGATGGGCTGCCCCTGATTGTAGGGCAACAACATTTTGGGGGCCACATGTTCCCCAGGCCTGTGTGAGAAAGAAGCATCCCTGTCTGTGGTTCTCCAGTCTTGGTCTCAAACTGCTATAAAGGTTTAATAGTGACAGGAAAGTTAAATGAGCATGGTTTCAAACTAGAACTGAGATATGAATTTCAACAGGGACAAATATAAGATTCTGTACTTAGGCAGGAAGAACCAGAGTGGGGGCTTAAAGCTGGGTCCCCTCAGTCCTAGTCTACGACTACTTTATACCATCTCCAGAGCATCTCACTTTCAATAAATCCTATACGACTGAAATAGACCAATGAATATGCATGTGTGGAAGTATCATTCTATAATGTTTGAAAATTTAAAACAAGATATTTGTTTCCTTTAGCTGCCGGCGGAGACTACTGGAGACTGCTGCCTCCTGGTACATACGTTGTCAGTGCTCAAGCTCGTGGCTACAGTAAAGTCCTGAAGAAAGTGACTTTGCCTGCCAAGATGACCAAGGCTGGACGGGTGGACTTTGTCTTGCGACCCCTCCTTAGTAAGCCCCCTCGAATTGGCCATGGGGCCATGGGCACAGCATATGAGCGTTATGACCCACTGGAACACTTTGACCCTCATGCTCAACATGCCCAACCAGAACCAAGAGATGATGGAGGGCAGTCTGTCCAGCCGAGAGAAAAACCCTGGTGGTGGTCTTACTTCAGCTCTCTTGATCAACACAAACCTTTGTGGCTGCTTAAACATCACTAAACTGTTCTATGTCGCACTCTTCATCTGAGCACACTAGGAGTAAATTGCATTTCCAGCTCTACTTTTGATGATAACAGAAGTATTTGAATCCGATTCCATTGTGAATATAACATTGCCTTGCTTTCCCCCTCCCTGCATTTTCTTTACTTCAAAATACAAAGAAAATATTAAAATTAGTATGCTCTTAAAGCTGGATGTAGCGGTTAATATTCCCCAGTACTGTGCTTCCCTTGTGCCATTGTTGTTAATCATCAGATTTATTATTTATTAGGACCCTAAAGTACCTGAAGAGAAATCTTTCTGATCCTTTAATGCATTTTCATACATGTCTTAACACATTCATTACTGCAAGTGAAAACACCCTTTAGGAAAAATTGGAAAAGCCTTTTCTTCTATACACATTACTTCTACTTAACTTGGTACATTAATTTCCCCATCTGAAATGGTTTCTTAAAAAATATCACTTAACGTCTACATTGGTTTTCATGTAGGCTTTTGAAAAGTATGAAAGGAGAGATCCTCATTTAAGCCGGCAATGACTTAAATGGGGTAGCCGGATTCTTTCAGACTGAAAAGGACATCATGCTCTTGCTGTAACAAAGATCCAGCAGGCGTTTCTCAAAAACAAGTCATGCCAGACAAATCTCATTTCTTTTTTTCATAGAGTTACAAGCTTGGTGGATCAGGGGAATGCTGTGGATGTAGTGTATCTTGATTTCAGAGAAGGCCCCAGTGATATTCTTGTGAAGAAGCTGGTAAAATGTGGGATGGACGAGGCAACTGTTAGGTGTGCTTGTAGCTGGTTGACTGAGCGAGCCCAAAGAGTGCTTATGTGTTTTTTTTTAAATGATATTTATTGAATATTTTTTTTTGGAATTACAAAAAAAAAACAAAGTAGAAAAAGAGAAAGAAAAAACAAAGAAAAAACAAACCACATCAAACAATACAAATTAATAAAAATCAAAATCAAAAAATATACCACAAACATTTAAAAACAAATCCAATATTCTCAAATCCTTAACTGTCATTACCTTCTTTCTTTGACCTCCTCCTCCTCCCTTTTTTTGTATCCTAGTTGTTAATTGTCGCAGCAAATCCTTTCCATATTTCATAATATTCTGTCATTACATTACCTTAATCTATTTTAATCTTATCTTACTATAAAAAAACCTTAAAACTTAAAACTTAAATCTTATTTTTACCAATTTCTCATAACCATAATATTCTTACATAATTCTTTAGATATTTTTGCTAAAGCCAAATAATTTCGTTCCAACATTTTTTTAACATTCATCAATTTTATAAAAGAATCCTAATAAAAAAAATATAAAAAAATCCAATCTTCATCCAGCGTCTCTTCCTCCTGGTCCCAGGTTTTGTCAGTCCTCTCTATCCCATCAGTCTAGCGCATTAACCTGGTAATCTTATATCTGAGGCCCTTAAGTCCCTTCCATGTCCCTTCCGCGGCTCTTCTTCATATTTATAGCTGTATTTTCCTTTGTCTCCTGCTCCTTTCACTCGTGGGAACTCCAGCTTAACAATGTTTTTGACCCTTCTCGACAAATCAGCCCCTTTTCCATAGTCCACACTAAACTCCATGTGGTATTTAAGAACATGTTTCAAAGTCCCTCCAAATTTAAGAGCCCCCACAACCCCAAACATCTCACGGCCCATTACCAGACTTGGAAAGTCCAAACATCCCTGCGTAGGGGGGTCTATCCAACCCCCCATTTCCAAACCAAGCCAAACTTTGTCTTTCCAAATCTGGCTTTTTCCAAGTTCATTTGTCAAATCCAAAAACCCATGTTCCTGCTGGGCCGCAGCTCCCTCCATCTCTGGCGTCTGAGGTTCAGCAACATCCTCTTCCCTCATCTGTTCTGTCAGGGCACACTCCTGATTTGATTCCTGGGTGGAGCCCAAAGAGTGCTTATGAATGGTTTCTCCATCCTGGGTTTTCTGAAGCTTTAATTTTGATGCCATTGTCTCCTCTTGTTATTTAATTCAGATGGAATTACTGAGGAAAGTGCTTCTGGTAGTTTTTGAGACCCACCAGCCGCCCAACAGTTTGTGTCAGAGCATATCCCACAAGGACAGGGAAGCAAATACTGGGAATAAGGATCCCAGATAGATACAGGAAGGAGCAAGGCCAGACCATGATTTCAGCTCAGTATCGTTTAACTATTTGTGTTCTGGATAGGACAAGGTGTATTTGTGTTCACTCCTGACCTTGTCATCATGCGTCCTGAGGGAAGCAATTAAGATGCAAATATGGGGGGTGTATATGGAGGGGGATTTCCCTCTCACTAAACATTGCTGTTTTGAATGCTCAGGAAATGCAAATCCCCTGATGAAAGAGTGCTAGCTTGAGAAAGGACATCTGGATGACATACAAGCCAGCTTCCTGAAAATAAAACCCTATAATAAATAAATGCAATGCAAACTTGCGCACACCTCTCTCTGGCCAAGTGAGAAAATGCACAGAAACATTTGAGCCTCTTCAGGTTGCAAGAAAGCTGATGCGAGCACATATGGACGGGGTTTTCTCAGGCATGGAAGCAGACAGGTCAGCTAGAAGGGAGGGAGCAGGTCCATGTGGCCCCAACATGTGGCCTGAAGGGGCCAGAAGGAGACACTCCAGGAAAGCCAAAGGCCATGAGAAGTGGGGGGTTGCCCCCTCCTGCTCCAACACTCCCAGGCAAAGCAAGCTGCCCATCTTGAATAGATTAAGTTGGGATTTTTCTGGGAGGCAAACAGGGAGAGCAGCAACAGGAAAATCATAATAGGGTTTCACGTGCAAATAACGGTATAATGGTGTTGCCAAATGCGGATGTTATTACCAAGGGAGGTTTTTTTTTTACTATATAATGTTGGACGAAATTAGCATAAAGGCAGAGATTCTACAAGCACTTACCTGGAAGGTTCTGGGAATGACTGACTTGCATGCTTGTAACTGGGCTCTAACTTAGAATCATAGAATCATAGAGTTGGAAGAGACCACAAGGGCCATCGAGTCCAACCCCCTGCCAAGCAGGAAACACCATCAGAGCACTCCTGACATATGGTTGTCAAGCCTCTGCTTAAAGACCTCCAAAGAAGGAGACTCCACCACACTCCTTGGCAGCAAATTCCACTGTCAAACAGCTCTTACTGTCAGGAAGTTCTTCCTAATGTTTAGGTGGAATCTTCTTTCTTGTAGTTTGGATCCATTGCTCCGTGTCCGCTTCTCTTGGAGCAGCAGAAAACAACCTTTCTCCCTCCTCTATGTGACATCTTTGAAGCTCAAAAGCCTCTCTCTCCCACCCCCACCCCCACCTCCCAAGAAGAAAGGCATTTTCTTTGCATTTATATTCAGTTCTATTAACCCACTTCTATTAACCATTTCTAAAATAAAAATAAGTTTAGGTTCCCAAATTGCAGCATATAAACCTTTCAGATGGGAAGCAAGCTTGTTTTGTTTTGGAAATTGTTACTCTGCTTTTCGTTATTCTTCTTCTTATTCTTCAAATCCTCAAAGCAGCCTTTATCATAGCAAATACAAATTGAGTAAAGCTAATGACCTGGGGAAAACTTTGCAATTCTTTGCCATCAATCATTGTTTTGTAAAAGCAGAGGGAAATCTTCTCATCTCATACTGAATGAACTTCAATGGAGCATTGATAATTTGTTTACTTTGCAATTATCTTCCATCAGTGGAGACAAATTGATTTGAACAATAAAATTGATGGCAAGTGCAGTACAAATGTCATCCAAAACTGAAGAAAGACATAACTAGTTTCAATACCTGGGAACACAAATATACTCAAAAAATACATATCTTATTTGATAATGCGCTGCATTGTGTATTAGGACTAGGAGATTTGCATATAAGGTATATTTTGTACATTTAAGCTGCCTAAAGATTCAATTTGAGAACTTATTGTCAATGTAATTACTAATCCCTCATTGGTTTTTAGAGGTTCTTTTTTTAAAAAAAGAAAATAATGTCAATAAATATTTAAAGGAAGCAAAGTAATTGAATGGGCTTCCTTTTTTATATACCGGTAATATAATACTTTTGCTGGATAAAAGAAAATGAAGTTAACACATTGGATAATAGTTGATAAAATATTATGAATAAAAAGCATCTCAAAATACATACCAACTAAAATGAGGTTTGCATATTAGAAAAGAGCAGAACAATCTTTTACGCACATTGCACTAGGACGCCTTGGGCTGTCTGTGGGTTTTACCCTGTTTTTGCATTTACTGGCTGTGTGTTTTTCCCTGCTCCTCATTGAATGAGCAAGTGCTGGACACAGCAGCCGTTCTGCTGGAACAGAAGAGATTGCAATGTATGCAACATTATATTTTGTTAATTACTGCATTTTCCCATGTATAAGACAATGTTTTTTGCTATAAAAAAAAAGTCAAAAATTGGGGGTCGTCTTATACACGGATGGGGAATGCATAGGGGTTTTAAAAAAAACCTGCACTACTTCCCTTCCCATGGCTGTTGTGAAGAAGTTGCCAGAAACCCCGGAGCGCTGGAGATACTGTCGCTCCTGGGTGCCCAAATTTGGGTGGTCTTGGGTGTTGGTGGGGCACAATCTGCTGCTGGCCCCACCCACCCCAGGCACCAGCAGGGGTTGCTACGCCAGTGCCAGTGCTTTGAATAGTTAATAAAATATAAAAGTTGTTCTGTTTGATGTTTAAAATATTGATTCCTTAATTTTGGTTTCAAAAAAATAGGGGTTTTCTTACACATGGGGGCATCTTATACATGGAAAAATACAGTATAAGCATTACTAACCCTACTTGCCACCATGACCTTAATAATTGTGCTAAATAATGCACATCTTTCCTTCCCAAAAAGGAGAGCCCTGCAGGAGCAAACCAATGGCCCATCAAGTTCTCACAGTGGCCAACCAGATGCCTCTTGGGAAGCCCGAAAGCAGGACCTCAGCGAATCAGCACTCTCCCCGCCCCCTTGCGAGTCCTAATAACTAGCATCCAGAGCCATATGTCTCAAAAGATGACACTAAGAAATTTACTATTTTATTTCTAATATTTGTATCCTATACAATTCACTGTTATTAAAATACAGTTGCAAAGATTGTACAATTTAATACGTTAGCCCTGCAATCCTGTATCTTCTGAGGCAATAGGAGAGATCTCCCTCTCCAAGGTCAGAAAGAGACAGCCAATCTTAA